TTTTGATTAGTACTCTTATTAATGTTAACTTGAGGGTTATGTGAGCAGTGATTTATCAAATTATTTAAGTGATAATTCAGCCACCGATTGCATTTGCATTTCCAAAAGTCATGCGGGGTTGCAGTTCATAGTGGGTTGCTAAGAGGTGTCTGCAAACATACACTTTTAAAAATATTGTTGAATGTTTTAAAGTTTATTTCTTTCCTGTTTAAATACAGAATTTCAGAATTCCTCTCAAAGTTTAAACAGAGCTAAAACTGTGAACGTTAAATTTAACTGGAAACTGAAGTCTAAAATTACATGTTAGAATTTTTGCATTGCTGAGACCGTATTTTCCAACTCTGTGGTCACATACTCTTCAACTTTCTGTCTTCTTTTCCTTTTCTTATACTGTATCTTCATAAGTGAACCCATTTAACTCCCTCAATTTACACCCACCACTCCAACTTTCTCCCTTTATTATGTTTGAGAGATATTTTCCAAAGTTAAAGTGACAGGGAATAATCCAAAGACTAAAAACACATGTGACCCAAATATTGAGTCTGATCCAATACTCCTGGACTAGATGAAAGTTATCCAGTTTTCTTCCCTATATAAGAGCTCTACTGTATGAACTGTGATCAAATTTTGAGAACGAGTTGAACCTGGATATGATATGATATGATATGATATATAAATAGAACTATTATAAAATATACAATATACCTTATAATTTTGAAGTAGGCATACTTAATCCATTTATTTTTTTAATTGACTCATAAAGCAACATTTATGGAATAAGAACTATGCATCTATAAAAAAGAATTTACCCTTGATTTTAGATCTAAGTTTTAAAATGTACTTTTAGTACTTAATGATTAGGTATAAGGGCAAAGTGGAAAGTGAGAAAAAAGAAATCACTGAGGCCTAAAAGCTCTTAAGAAAAATGAATGATCAATAGTCCCTGCAACCACCTCCCCTCACCTTCCCTCTGCCTTTGGGTAGAGTGGGGTCCTTTAGAGCCTTATAAAACATTTGGGACTTTATTATTACTTCCCAATAAATAATCATCCTCTTTGATAGTCAAGGTACTTTATTGGAATTATCAGATTCTTAAAGATAGAAAGTCATAATATTTCAAATGAATCTGTGTTAGTGGATAAAAAATGAAATAAAAAATGTTACAGCCATCTCACTACATAGTGACAGAATTAATGAGTTAGATCACAACCACCCAAAGCCTGGTCTACATGTCTTCTCAATTAGCTATATCTCTACCTCTGTTAGACTACGGTTAATTCTGTCTCTGTTAGACCTCTGCTTTGGTATTTTTGCTTTTGTTTCACAGCAAAGGTTCTAAGTTTGACCTTAATGCTACTTGACTCATTCTCAGTGTGACAGATGCCCTGAGCGGTAGAAGGCAGAAAGACACCCTCGTCCTGGGCAAGTAGACTGTGGCTAAGAGCAACTGAGGGCTTTGGGTTAAGGCTTCTCCACTGATGTCCCACATCTCTGATACTGGTGTCTTGTCTAGGGGTAGTCCTGTCCTTCCAGGATGAGAATTCCTGCAGAGGGCACTCCTCACTCTCTCCTGGGCAGCGTATTGTTTGTTTTTTCTTTAAATGCTTAAAAATATATCTGGGCCATATCAATTTTAGACACCAAGATTTTGCTGAAGTGTTGCAGGATATATTATTTAAGAGAAAAATGAAACAACTACAACACTACATAGTAATGTACATTGTGAAAAGACTAACTGAGCAACACTATGGCAGGAAACCAATCTAGTAACAAGAAATTGAGGCAGTGATGCTTAAAAAACACACTTAAAAATATGAAGTGTTTCATTTGCAGCACATAAGTACAATCACCCTTATAGCAGAGTCTGCTAGTAAACAAAAGGCTAAAACTAAACTAGCAGAAGTTGCTAGAGCCAAGGCTTCTCCTAAAGTTCACTTCTGCCTTGTACACCGGGCTGTTTCAGCCAAATCTACAGAATCAAGGGCTTTTTTAAACTTTATGAGATCACAGGACCACTGGCAATCTAATAACAGTTATGAATTGGTCCACAGAAATGCTCAGATTGGGAGATGATTTTAGAGTTCCAGATAGCCCTGAAGCTCAGTATGATCAACTTGCTGGTTGTCAGTCATTCAGGATGAACCATCTATGTAGTGTTGAAATGCAGGCAAAACACAAGAAGGAAAATTCACCTTATGGTTAGATAGTAGCTCCTGAGTATTGTTTGCTTAGCTTTCCTCTCAACTTATGTCCTATACTTGGGCTTAAACAGCAGAAATCTCATGAAAGGAAGAGACCCAACTTCAATATATATTTAGTGATTAGTAAGTAGGGGGTATTTTCCCCCAGGACTCTAAGACCCACTAGCAATAAAAATGCAACAAATGCGTGAGGAGAATTTGTCTAGTTACGTGATACAATCACGTAACTATGTAAAACAATCTATCAAATTCTGAAAAATTAATGCAAATGTACATAAATTATTATCAAGTATATAATCTAAGCAGAAAAGTTGAAAAACTATTTAGGGATTTGGTTAACACAAACTAAACAAAACGTCAGACCATAAGGCCCTCCTCTTCACACCAATTATTGCTCAGTAAAAACGTTGTTTTCTAGGCAGACGTGAATCTCAGAAATGAAAATTCATTGTCTGGCCCACAAATTCCTCTCTGTATAGAAAAGACAGGGCAGGTTTCAAAGGACAAGACAGGGATAGGTGATATAGCCTACTAGCCAACTCAAGGTTTATAAAAATCCAGATCTATAACCAAGAGATTTCCATAATCCCTAGAATTAAAGCTATGTTTGTTGTTTCTCTTTTCCTTATTATAAACAAGGACAATGAAACAAATTTGAAAGCTATTTAGAATAATCAACAAACTTACATGTGTGGGCTTGAAATCTTCATAAAACTCAATATGAAACTGCAATATGTAGGTTTTCAGTAAAAACTTATCATGAAAGATCAAATAAAGTTATTTAAATCTTTCCAAGTGGCTAATTACATTTTTACAAATGATAAAGAGGTAAAAGTTCTGCTCATGAAACACAGGGCTAGCACAAGGCTGGCAAGCAGTGAAACTTCATTTCTGCACTCTCCACTTGAACCTTTTCTCTACTGAAATTAGAGAAAAACAGTAATTTACTGTAAGTTCTCAGTGACTCATGCAGGGACAATGCCCCTGACAGTGTACAATTTTTCCTTCTGTGTTTCTTCAGTTTGGTAAAATCACAATATGTCTAGAAATGTCCCCTTTGTAACTCAGGAAGCCATAGTAATTTAATAAGGCTCAGAAACCCTGGCTAACTTGGAGAGCTTCATGCAGAGAGCAGTGCAGGGGAGAACTTCAAGACAACTATTCCAATGGTCATGTGAGTACATATTAGAGTCAAGAAAACTTTAAAGTAAGTAGCAGAACAAATGTAAAAATATCATTTGATCCTATAGTCTGTGCTAAAGGCAAGAATCTATGAGTTTTTTCATGTAAAAAATTTCCAAAGAAAAATTAATTTTTCTTTGAAAGTAGCCTTTTGTGTTTGTATTAACTACACCATTTTACTTAGGCTACATACTCTCTTTGTCTATAAGACTTACTTTCAAGTTATTGTTGAGCTAAGGAGGGTAGTGAAGCGATTTTCTTACACAATTGTCAAGGTGCCTGAAATTTAGGTGGAGTCTTCGAAACACACATGTCTAATTACTTCAAGAAATGAACAAAAGATAAGATGTCAAATGTAAAGAAGTGTCAGCTAAACTCTGCTTTTGTTTCAGAAAGATTAAAAATTTTCACACCATGGGGTACAGAGAAAAAAAGTTAGAAAAGCGAGTTAGAATTACTGCAGGAAAGTGCTTGAGTCTTTCTGAATCTTCACAGAGTATGAGATTTGTTTGGGAGGCCATTGAGTTTTAGAACATTAATTATATCAGTATTCAAATGGAAGAATCGAATCGTCCTCTGGTGTAAATAAATTATGCCATTGATGCTATAATTAATAATATAATTAAATAGAGAACTGATTATCTTTTAAATGATTTGAACTTCTGAGCTAATTTTATATAGATAATTGTTTCTCCCATGTAAGAGGAATAAACGAGGGTGTTATTTGCAGTTTAAACTCACGCCTGTGTTTATTTGCCATTACTCTTTTCTGCCCAAACTGTTTCTAACGCTTCAACTTTCTCGTAGCTATCTCCACTTCAATATCGGACTTGCCCTCCAGCTCAAAACACCAGAAACTATAATATTTCTTTCTTTGGTAATAAATACACTATTTTGTATTAACTACAGCATATGTAAGACTACATACTCTTTTTAGTTTTACTCTCATAAGTTTTCTCCAGCCAACAAGTTACCCAGAGACCCTCATCCTACACTTATATTCTTATGTAACATACCATCAAGCTTCAGAGGGTCCACTTCCAGAGTATCCTACCTTCTAAATAACTGAGGTTTCCACTTTTTCCTCTACCTCCATTCTCTCTTTTGGTACTTTGAACCTTGAGCATTTTCCATGTTTAATAAATTTCTTCTTTGTTTTATTTTTTTAAGCTTCTTTTTTCTTGGCTTATGGGGTTCTTTAGTCCTACATTTTATAGTCCGGTTTGGCCATGAGGTCTTTATTTAAAATTCTCCAAGACTTTTCATCACTTTAAGGATAAATTTCACATAGTTCATAGGGCTGTCACATTGGCCTGATCCTGAACTGACTCTAGGCTCCATTTCTGCCTTTCTGTTGGTATAAAGCAAGGCTTAGGTCCCATTGGTGAGTGGTTGAACCTATAAACATCAACCACCTTTACTCTTGTCTTTACTGAACAGACACGTGTGTTGGATGATTTTTTAAAACCAAATCACACCTAACTTTTAAAATCAAGACTTTCTGTGACATATGCTTCTATGGTCAAATGAAACGAAACTTTGGTCAAGTGGGAAAAAATTAAATGAAGCAGAAGAGTAATAGTCATTAAAAAAGATTTTCATGATCCAAATTCTTACCTAATGTCTGCGTGAAAACTGCCCACCAGCCTTTTGCTGTTAGAAGAGAATCTGTCTTGAACACCAGAAGCATACTATTGTTGCTGCTCTTAATAACTGGCGGAAGCTCAGAACCACAGAATTTGCCAAGAAGAGGATCAGTGATGTTAGAACCATCATAAACGGCCACGAAGTCATTGGAGCACAAGGTGGAGGGAACCACATCAAAATCACGGAACCTGTGAAGTGTATCATTAGTACCAATGTTCTCCTTTGAATGTCTATTAAATTATCTGTTCTTATAAGAAAAAAGGCAAACAAGAAATAAAGCAAAAACTGAAATCAGAGCATCTCAGCTTTACTTGGTATGAAATATACATGAGCCACTTGAGATGAATTTGAAAGTGTAGCCTAGCTATTAACTACAGACAATATATCAAAAACTTTGGTAGGAGCTAAACATGTAAAGATGAGCAATATACAGCCCAACATAACAACAAATTGACAGTCTAAGACATGTTAAATACATTTGAGATCATTTTCTGACAAGCTGAACTAATTACCACTCCAAAATATGGCATTTGTTCTTCCTTTGTTATTTTGTGAGACAAAGTGGTACTATTAACCCGTTCGTTACTTGTGAGAAGAACGTTAGGATAACAGAGTGGAAGAAATGCTGGGTTTAAAATTATAGCCTCACCCTTATGCTACAGTCTCACTTTTCTCCTCTGAAATGCAATTTGTAGCAAAATTAAGTCCAACAGTATGTGAAAACCAACCTATGGTATCTGGCACACAGTAAATGCTGAATGAAATAAAGTTATTATTATTATTGTCATTTTAAAATCAGGAATATGAGAGAACATGCTCTTATACAAGATATAAACATATAAAACTAGTGGAAGAAAATAATGAACAAAACTCTTCTGGGTCTTATTGCTGTAACAAGAAATTTACATCTCTCTCTGTATTCCTTTCCAGGTACTGAGTGTCACTGAGACACAAGGGTTAGAAATATGCCCTTTTGGCAGACAGCCTCTTCATCTGTCTTCTTGTGATCACACAGAATAAGAAGAGGAATTTACTAATGATGCAATGTACTTCTTACAGCACCATTTTTCAAGTATTCTCATGCATGGCTGAAAAACTATTTCTTAGCAGAGAATTTACCTTTAAGAGATAGCATGGGCATATTACTGAGGACATGGCTTTTGGAGGGTATCTGACATAGATTGAGATTTCGACTTGTTATTTAAGTGTTTCTTTTGAAAGTTATGTGACCCTCCCTGAGCCTTGGTTCTCTCATTGGTAGAAATGTGAGAAACATATATGTTTCACATGGTTGTTTAAGGATGATATAAGACAAAAAAGAAGGTATTAATTAGAGTTTCCAATATATAATAAATCCCCAACAAGTGATAACTGTTTTCTCTAGCTCTTCCTTTCCTTGCTGATTTCAAAAAGGGCTTAGAATCTGACAATGCATTATATGAAGCCCCTTTTCAGTGCTGAAGAGTCAGAACAACTATTTTTAATGGGTGGGAAGCTTGTTTTCCCATTAATTATCACTGGCCTGCATGGGGGAGGGGGGGCAGGTTTTCCTGCCAGGCAGGAATTTCCCTCTTCCTTCCTCTAAATTGCCTTCTAGGTTACTGCAGGAAAAAAAAATCAGTGCTGGCTGTGAGTAAAGGAATAATGATTCTGTGAATAAAGCTGAAAGATTTTTTTTCTCTTGAAAAAGTAAATTTATCTCACGTACTTGAGTTGAACAATTCTGTCATTTCTAACGAAGATGTTATACAGACAGTAGATATTGTTTGGGTAGTTGCTGTTTGGGTAGGAGGTACTCTGGATGGTTCCAATGGACGAGCGGTATGTACCACCACACGCTGCAAAAGAAGGTGAAAAGAACAGTTATTATCCACAGTACAGGATAATAATGTTAAAATATTTTATATTATTGTGCATTTCCCCAAGAAAGATGGTAAGTATTTTTCTTAAAGTAGCTTAAATCTTCATTGTGTTTTCAAATGATTTTGACTTTTCCACTGGGGACAACGAGACAATAAAGGAGTAAAAACTAGGAAGAATATCTTAAGGCACATTTTAGAAAGGAGTATCTGTCAAATTAATAGTCAGAGTGAAAATACAGAGAAAGAACATTTCATGTGTGTGGTGTAACTGGCCGTCCCATAACTGACAGATTAATAGGGAGATGGCAGCAATACCTGGAAGTTTAGGCATGTTACAGAAGATCATATAAATCCAAGAAAAATTCTAGCCTAGAAATCCTTAAATATATACATTCACATATTTTCAATTAAGAACAGAATATTCTAAGGCCGACTGTTGGAAGGCAATTTCAGAACTTTCACAGTTTGTCCCTTTATGGGTTAGATGCATGGTTCTTAAGTCCCTATATTTCTATTTAGTTGTGAGATAGGTAAAACCAACCAAACAAAAACTATACGAAGCCAAATTTGTATAATTTATCTTCCAAAAGCACGCAGACTCTACAGTTAACAGCACAAAGTCTTTAATTAGACCCACCAGTCAATAATACAAGGACCATGAAAAATATAATATAGCTCCTCTCTACACAATATAAAATTACTACAGTACTTTTGCTTCAGCCTACATATAAGAAGGATCAGACTGTACCACCTAATAATGGATGCTGTACTTCTGCAGGAAGGTCTGTGTTAACTTTATGATTCTATAATTACAATGATGCTAGTGTACCTGATATTTCTGTAGTTTGTGTACCATAAGGTTATATGCTCCACCTACATCTCTAAGACATGAGACATGAAACCATTTGTGGCTGCCATTTATGGTTCTTTCCTTCTTTATTGTTTTTGCCTCAGTTGAGTTCATTTGCAGGGAAAGAGGCTCTCTTTATGCTATAAAAATTCGTGTGCTCTGACCCCTGAGTACATCTGTCTTGAATTAAATGTCTACTTTGGGGAGCAATTACTCTGTTTCATTCAGTACACAATTAAGTGGTCTCTGAAAGTTATTCAATGCTTAAACAACTTCCATCTTCATACACTGTCAAGATTTGGACACAGGATCAACACCCCTCTTAAGTGGGACTTACGTACCAGATATACTAAAAGTTGCGCATTGTGTTTAGGAAAAGGAGACATTAAAGAGCAGAAGAACATAAAACAGCAGTTTAATCCTCTGAAGCAGTGGATGTTCTAAATAAAGAAAACAAACATGTTCTCCCTTTTGTTCCACAAGACTAGAGGGAGGAAATGTTCATCGTTTAGTTTATTTCAGTGGTGCCAACAGGCCTACGACACCGCACAGAATCATACTTTACAAATGATAGTGTTTAGAACTCAGATAGCAGCTAACGTGAGCAAATTATGAAGGCCCTTTTGACAAGGAAATAGTAGTCTTCCTTGTGGGTGGAAAAAGAAACTTATTTGAAGGGACTTAATTACATGTCGACCATTAGCAATGGGTTTGCTTAAACAACGAAAAAACAAGGGAAAAGATTTTACAAGCTATATGTCTGGTTCACTGAAGTGGAGAAGCTATCAGGAAAATACTGTCAGCAGACTAACCAAACCAAAGGGGAAAAGATGATTCAAGATAGGGAAGTATTATCTTATGATTTTCTTCACAGTTACAAAGCCTTTACCCGGCATTTGCCTTTGTTAGAGAAAATTATAAATTATAGAATAGCTGAATGTATCAACCTTTTTCTTTGCCTTTAGGGCTTGTGCATTTTGCATGTAATTTTAAAAAATCCCTTTCTATCAGAAATCCATATAGGCATTTTTTAATATCTCTTTTAACATGACAAAATACTATTTTTCACACTAACAAAGTGACTTGGGGAATAAAACAGGCATCTGGACAATTCAAAATAATTCAACCATAAAGGCATCTTTACATAATGAATGAAAAGTAAAATAGCAAGAATTTTCATTTAACTTACACCACAAATCTCAATCCTCCATTTCACTTTTCTCTTTTAGAGAAAAATATGGCTAAATATTTTTGTACCATATATTTAATTTCCTTAAAGTCTCTGAATCTTCAAGTTGGTGATTACTGGATCACAATAAAAACTGATTGTGTAATTTACTAAAGAAAAACAAGAAAAGTAAACTCCAAATGGTATCGTTATAGCTACTCACAGGTTGTCTGATAGGAAATCTTGAATCCAAAGTCTGTGACGTGTGAATTGGAGAAGAAGTTAAGCAACACTGGGCCAGACACCCCGATGGCGTCCAAGGTCTCATCCCCACACACGGTAGCAACAGGTGTAGAAGAGAGGCTGTCACCTCTGAGGATGTGCAGACCATCACTGTCACAGTTCCCAGTGGTGGCCGAGCGAGCTGTACAGAGTATGGAAGAAGCAGCGTTATGAACAGAAACAACACAGGAAATCAATGCTGTAAACATTAAAATGTTATAATGAGTCTTTCAAGTAATATAAAAATTAAATAAGCATCTAGAGATAATTTAGTGTGTCAACTTTTAGCTTTTTTTCCTGATGAAACAATGTTTATCCCAACAACAGCAAACATAACAATAGTCATGATAGATAGTCCACATTGAAAAAATTCAAAATTTTCTTTATAAGATAATTAATTTAGTGTAATAATTATAAACCAGAGACACCTTGCCTCCTGGGGGATATTTAGTAATATCTGAAGACATTTATTTTGCTGTCCCATGGAAGCCAGAGATGCTGGCTGATAAGTACGCTGCCGTGAATGGAATCATTCTCACAGGCTGAGCGCTCCTGTTGCCAAGAAGCTACTGAACTCCAGCCGTCAATCATATAGCCATAGAGTTCTCTGCTCCCAGAGTGTGTATAAGAGATCACTGGAAACCCCCTCATGTTTTTTGAACAGCCAACATCATTGTTCACCCAAATGACATTAGTTTAAGGCTCTAGTGACTGTAGAACTTCATATTACTGCTCCTATTTTAAAATTATAAAACAATATATAAAACAATATGCCAGCAATTGAAAAGAATTTTACGACTACAACTTCTCTGGTCATTTTTACAAGAGACTGAATACTGGAGCACTTTCACTGCAATCTTTTGTTTCCCAATTTTTATTAACATAAAATAACATACTGCTATGTATTTCTATGTGATCAGTCTTTTGAGACATTTATTAGTGCATATGTCAAATTAAAGATTGCTATGTCCAATCACTTCTTCCATGTTCTATAAGTTCTATATTCTCTATTTACTAAACACAAATATTTGAGGTAATTTCTTATTGTTCATTAAACTTTTAGAGTTTGAGTTACTGGTACTAAGGCAAGATTCTTTTCCAGGTTTACCACCTGGCCTTTTGGAAAGATGTCGCCAATTCACATCTGTACAGCACCTAGGAATTTGACATTATTCCCAATTCTACATTTTTCAACACCCTATAGACAACTTTCTACCCACTGGCGATCACTCTTTATACCTTCTGCTATTTTTGTTGTTCTGTCAGCCCGGTACAACTACAAATCTACTTTCTGTATCTATGGATTTGTCTATTTTGAACATTTAAGAGAAATAAAATTACATAATATGTCAGTTCTTGTGATTGACCTCTTGCTTAACACAATGTTGTCGAGGTTCGTCCATGTGGTAGTATATGTCAATACTTCATTAATTTTTATGGCAGAATAATATTTTATTATGTGGTTATATCTCATTTTTTTTTAAAAAAATCCATTAATCAGATCCAGGTATAGTGCCACATGTCTGTACTTGAGGATTCTGGGAGTCCTCCAGAAGCAGGAGGATCAAAAGTTTGAACCTACTCTGAGCAAATTAGCAACTTAGTGAGACTTTATCAAAACAAAAAAAAAAAAAAAAAAGGAATTGGGATGTAGCTTAGTATGAAAGCTCTGAGTTTAATGCCTGGTACTGAAAAAACATCGGATGACAAGCATTACTGTGTTTTCACTTATTGCATTGGTATGTATTCACTTGGGTATATAACTAGTAGTAGAATGGTTGGTTCACACATTATCTCTAGGTTTAATAAGTTGAGACCCTGCCCATCTTTTCTTGAGTGGCTGTACCATTTTATAATCATACTCACAATGTGTAAGGTTCTGATTTCTCTACATTGTTGTCAACACTTGTTATTGTCTACTTTAAAAATTATAGCGACAATACTGGTTGTGAAATGGTAGCTCATTGTGGCTTTGACATTATTTCCTTGACTGAATATCTTTTTGTGTTTATTATCCATCTGTATATCCAGCCAGCTCCACTTTGCTGCAGGGTAGATGTCATCTTTCTTTCTTTTGAACCTCTGCTTTGAGCGCAGCTACTCTACAGCCAGGAGAGGAGTCAGGCCTAACATCTTTCCTACTGCAATAGCACAGAGTACGAACAAGAGCAGGAACATATTCAGTGACACCATGGAAATGCTAATTCAAGTGGAGTTAAGGCTCGGTCATGCTTAAGCCAGGTTGGGTTTTTTCTATAATTGTGCTATAGAAATTCCTAATCAACGTGGTAGCACTTTATTGTTACTGTAGTCATTGTTGTCACTATTGATAACAGAATCGCACCATTTTATGTTCTGTTCTGCATGACTGACTGCTCCAAGGCAGAACAAGGCCCAGTGCGGGTTAACTAGACGCATTTGAATTGTGAGTAAAGAGGAGGCAGTGGTAGCAGCCAAAGATACCAAACTTAGAAAACATTGTCAGCCGTGTTTCCTGACATATGAAAGAGCAATAAAGAAAAAGGAAGTTATCATGTAGAAAGCAGCAAAAGGGATGATGAAGAGTGTGGTAAAGGGTCCCTGTCTCAGCTCCCCTGTACTAGAAGTTTTATTCTCTTCTTGTTTTTAAACCTTTCTTTGATATGCAATAACCCAGAATCCTTCTAATAATTTCAACTTTATATCTAATCAACCTTAAAGATAATCTACTACTTCTAATTCAGAGGATCTTGACAAACACATTCACCTTTACCATATCTTTTGATTCAGAAGACCCAGGATGCTTCTCTCTACTTCTTGGATCTGAATGCCAGCTTAGACAAAACAGATATTTTTTACCAGAAAATATTTGTGCAGTTTAAATTTTAATTTTAGGAATATATTTGGCTCCTTAACTAAGTTTCTATCCAGCTTTAAGACATTTTGAGGCATAAATTTAACATTCTATTTATTAAATAAGCTTCAAAGAATTCCCTTATTTTGAAAATCCTAGAATAGAAATGTTTCTAATTGGTCACAAATGTGAAAGACTAACTTTTATCACGTAATTAGAAGCAATGTGATACTGGGAAAAGCATGACAAGGAAAAAATTAAGCTCAGATTCATAGTTTGAATACTGCCAAGTTATGTACTTTAATTACCACTCCAAAATTTTTCTTTAAGACATCAAAAGCTCAAATGGAGCTTTAAAAATACAGAGTATATGAGTTTGAAAATAAAAAATACATTGTATTAATTATTTTACAAAAATCTTTATTTAGCAGCCATGTACAAAGTTGTAATACCAAACTCACAGAATGAAGGGAAATATTCCTAATCCTAGGGTGAATTCCTGGACTTGTAATTGCTAAACAGCCTGCTATGCAAGTGCCTTTTAGTTTTAAAGTTGGTTTACAAATTGTAGGCCTAAGGATATAGATTATCACTGAGATACTCAGCTAAGAAAATCACAGAGAAGGGCATGACGCCTAAGGTAAAATGTGTCTTATACTTGATTATTCTTCCAAAAAATTAGCTAAAGGAACTAAGTTTAATTACAGTAAGTTCAAAAATAAATAGAAATGGCATATTGAGACATAATCAGAACTTATTAACTGTTTACAAAAGGTAAGAGATAAGAAGAAAAGTTGTTGGAGAGATGTAGAGAAAGTTGAGAGGGCAAGTGAGGGAATTTGAACTTCTAGGTGGATGACAATAGAATATAAAATTAAACAAATAATTCAAGATAATGTGCTTGTTTTCAAAGCCTGACTCAGTAAAACTGAAAATTGTGACACTTGGAAATATTTAATGAACTAAAACATCCTTGTGTCCTGTCCAATAGTCATTTCTTTCACAGAAGATATTCTTAAAAATTTTATCCACAAGGAAGCAGACACTCACATAATGACAGAACTTGGCAAAATTGTCCAAATCTAAAGATATACCAAGGACTACTAAGAAATAGGTACTATGTAAGAAAATGAGTTATAAATACTGTGTCAGCAGAAGTAATACACACATATCCTTTTAAGAGCTACATATCATATCAGTGCAGTAGATCAAAGAAATCAGCATGATCCTTCCATAAGATAGTAGGTGATAAAGACAGTGGCCACTAGAAAATAACTGAATGTTTTTCCACAATTAAATGAGGAGCCTATTGCACATACAATTGAATACACAGAAATCTCAAGCAGAATACAGTTAAGTACAACTGAGTTAATCTGCTAGGGAGAAACAGGAACTTTGTCAAGATCTAGAAAGTTGTTTAAGAAACAAGATGGATATTAAAGTTGAGTTTAAGATGGTGTTCAATCACGCACAAGAACCTGTTAGGAAGACAAGTTCCCTGAAACTGAACAATATGTTCTGGGACGGCAGCCCAAACTGTAGGACAGGTAGTAACAATCATTGTCGCTTCTATTTTCAATAAATGATTTGATGCATATTTACTGCTGAAACATCTGAGCTGTAAAATAATTGTCCCCACTTGGTTTTTATGACTGCTTCTACTTTTCTAGCACATATTTATTGTTTGAGATGGGTAGGCATTCGACATAAAGTAATGAAATTTAAATTTTATTACACTTTTGTATATTTTACTATAGTACAATGTCTAACTCTGAATTCTATTATGATTCTAAATATTTGAGAAAAAGTAAAAGAAAATTTAGGGTCAAGTAATGTGGCAAATAGCATAAACTTGTAGAATTTAGATTCAGACTATAATTTTTCTTCAGAGTCAATAGGTAGAGGCAGAAGTGGAAAAAAGGACTAAACATAATGGAGAATCATTTGGTTAGGATATTGTGAAACTTACATAAAATCTAGTCTTTTCAGTAAAGTAGGAAAGAGTTTAGGGATGGCAAGTGATTTAAAGGAAAGCACTGAAAGACATCTGCCTGCTGCCTGATTAAGTTCACTCTGCAAAGCATGGAAACTGGTCTTTTCACAGGCAGAATAATTCAGTAGATAGAAGCGCAGGCTAGCACAGTACTAAGCTCCATCCAGTGCAAGGCCAAAGCCTTCCAACAAAGCAGGTTCCTGTGCAGCACAGTCAAAGCAGAAATCTCACAGAAACTAAACTGTTCTATTGAGTGCTCTGCCAATTTTAATAAAATATCAAAAGGAAATATTTCAAAAGAACCACTTCTCAATTTCTAAAATAATTCATTGTGAGATGTGTCCATATTCTGAATTCTTTAAAAACAATTGAGAAAGCAAAGAGAAGAAATGGTAAATTACATCATGTTGCTTTTCCTTAAAATTTAATTAAGGGGACATGTGAAATGAAACAACTGACAAAACTCAATTATTGTGCTATGAGATGAACAAAAAGAAAAATCTAAAGCTACATTTTGTTTCCTTTAGCATTCTATTAAATGTAGTTTGGAAATCAGGACTTCAAGCTAATCAGAGAATTCAAGCAAATATTAGGTAGAACTGCCTAGCTGATGGCTCTGAAAATCTAACCCAACCCTCTTTGGATTTTTTAGACTGTCCCTAGATGATAAAGAACAAAAGCACTTCACCCTTTGGTGGCTCCCACCACATGGGCTGAGTGCTCACAACCAGTCAATGTGTGGCAGAGTCACTCTGGAACTGAGCCACACTGAATTCATGGTTAGCCTAGACACAAGACTTTTTCATTAAAAAATCTCTGGGGGTGGGGGCTGGGAATGTAGCTCAGTGGTACAGCACCTGCCTAGTATGCATGAAGTCCTGAGTTTGGCTCTAGCATTACCAAGTAAACAAACAAAACCCTTGCTATCACTATGATGGATCAATGTTACTATCCAATTTTAATGATAGAAAAATTAAGGTGTATAAAGCACTGGCTTTTCTTGGGTTAACTTCATCTGCTAAGTGCTTTATCTACAAAGTAAAAAATAGGGCCTATAGTTTTCTTAGCAGTTTGAGGGTATCAACCTGGCTACGTGAATCAAAGATCACAAAAATAGAGTTGTAGATTGTTTAATATTTGGGGAAATAAAATAAGTATTTAATAAACATCCAATTCCAAGATAAGCACAAACAGTAACATAAAATGGCTTATATTAGAAATGTAAAAATAATGAGAAAGAGAAATTTAGGCTAACATAAAATAACGTATTTTTATAACACCTTACTTTGTGGTGAATGGAAAGGAGGTCATTGAGCTTCTGCAACCTCCTGATAGGAAAAGTACCAGAGTGTAGTTGCACGATCAGTATATGTGCTTGAACAGTCAAATCTTCCCTAACTAGTTGTCAGTGTTTAGCAGCCATAAATGAAAACACAAGAGAGCTTCCCTGCAGTTTTTAGCCTGGGATAGCCCATGATAGTCTTGCCAGGTCTATCTTTTTTGTGCTAATGGTCCATTAAGACAATAGTTGTACAACCCTCCTGTACACCTCAGTTAGCAGTCACCCTGCTGGCATTCTAGGTCCAGCAAGATTTGAGCAGAGTCTCTCTGAATCAGTTCCTACAGCCTATAATAGCTGGAAAAGCCAATGCTCCTTCAACAAAGCTATGACCTTCTTTGAGAACAATTCTCAGTTGTATCACAAAAGAAGTACACATGAATCCCTCAGGCTCCCTTTAGCAGGGCCTGGGAAAGGTTATTTTTGCTGTTAACTATAAATACTCTCCAGTTTGTTGGTATTCAATAAATGTCACCATTAATGTGGTCAGAAAGAAGAATCTAATTATAAAGTAAACTTGATTAACATTGCCCTTTGTGGGGACTCATCATAATTCAATTAGTCTATAGTTAAGAGTTATCCACTTAGCAGTGGGAAATGTTGAGTACTTGTAACACTGGAAATGTCACAAGACCTTTCTATAAGGATATTATCTTGCCAAAAAAATCAGACTTTTCAATTGGTGTAGATTTGGAAATTGTTACTGATTAGTAGTAATCAATCTGGCATCATTGACTTTTTAACTACTACTTTGTATAGCTAGTCATCTGCTTCATAACAGTGAGGACAAGTTCTGAGAAATGTGACTTCATCCTTCATCAGTGTGCACCTATTCAAACTAAGATGGCTGCAGTACCAACCACCAGATGATACAGTGTGAGACCACTGTCATACGTGTGGTCCATCATTGACCTCCAAATGTCATTGCATGAGGCATGACTCTTGTATGTGTGTTTATAAAATCAAAAGAATATTAGAAAAAAGAAAAAGTAATTTGCACAAGTCATATGATTAGGAAGTGGCTGGCCTGATGTTTAGGAGTCATTCTCAAACTGTATGCCGGCTCCCACAGCACCATATGCCAGGAATTCTGAAGCATGTTGCACCTTTCTACTTAAAAACTAAGCACAGGGGTTACTGTTTCAGGTGGTGTTAGGCTTTACAATGTACATATGCTGCTGGTATCAGTTGTGCTTTTGTGATCTTATAGTGCATTTATTAGTGTATCCTCTTTTGAGTCTGAATGGTATTGGCCTACAACATATTCATCTAATTTAAAGTAAAACAAAAGCAGATGTGAATGTAAAATCTGAGCCATGTGTTTTCCTGTTACTGGAATAACTTTTATCCATAATAAAAATAAAAGAAATGATATAACAAAGAAAATAATAATCATCTATAGATCACACAGTGATAGCAAAGTACTGCTTCACAGCCTTACAGATTTTATTCACATGTGTTACTGTAAATAGAAATTTGATCATCTTATATAAGCCATTTATCTATCCTCATGAACATCTTTTTATGATACTCAGATTTGGTGCCAGCAAATACTAACAGACTATATTTTGCTTCATATTCCATGTTTATAGTCACAGATCAATTTATAATTGGCATTTTCTAGCATGTTCTAAAAATGCAGCCACAGAGTTCTATGAAAAGAGAGTGATGTCATAGAAAAAAGGGAAAAGTATAATTTATCAATTTATGAATATATCAGTTTCACATTTTTAGTTTTATAATCTTTAAATCTCTTGGATACTGAATACTAGAGACTATTTTGTTAAGTGTAATTTTTTCCTCCAAGAGAGACCAACCCAAAAAGAAAGACATCATAAATATGCAGAAATAACTTCACAAAGAGTGCTAGAAGTAGGTAACTTAGAATGTGAGGAATTGAAAATGCTCCTTACAGGGATTTCTTTTTTATGTCTGGGCATCCATTAAACACTAAGTCATGCCTGTGGTTAGACAGAGCCTGGCCCATACCTACAGCCCACTGTTCCATGAGTCAGCTGTCATACTCGAGAGCAGATGTGGTGAACCTTTGGCAAACATGTTATTTGTTTTTCTTTTAAGACAAAAAAAAAGTCAGTATATGAATTGTTTTCTTAATTATAACCTTAGTATCTAAGTTTAATGCAATGTTGGCACTTCATGATAAATAAGTGGGTTTTGGGTTGCAGTTTGGGCACTCATCTCTATAAGGTTCACCATCACTGCCAGGTTTGGAAATGAACCCAAGAGGAAACACCCTTGGCTAAGAACTTCAGCACTGAGCAATCAGGACAGGGAAGATGAAGGTCACAAAAAAAGGGGATGAAAGGAGAATTCATACAAAGTTAACAAAAGAAGAGCATAGATAATAATCTTATTAATTCAATCACTCAATAATTGTTGTGGACCTATGTTGACTCAACAAGACAGTTTCTAAGTCAGGATAGTTTTGAGTATGTGTGTATGTGTGTAGGCATGTATGTGTGCATGTACACATCCATTCACATGTATATGTATAGAGTGTAAGTGCAAATAAATATAAAAACTATGCTAACATGTAACATTTCATACTAATTTTTAAGTAATTTATCTGATGCTTACATCCTTTAATTTTTTATTCTATTTTTTCACTTCTGGATGGAATTGATAAAATAGTACTTGTGTTCTCTAAAAGTTGGGAGGAATTTTATTCACACATGTTAAATCTAGTCTGTGACATATATTTATTTTTTTCTTCAAATGGAGATGATAGACTCTACCTCTATTCATTTGTTATTTTCTTAACAATTATTTGTAATGTATTTAAGAGTAAACTTACTTTCCATTGATAATATCAAAAAACAGATAAATGTTGGTGAGGATGTAGAGAAAGAACCTTTTTATACTGTTAGTAGAAAACTGGCATAACATTATGGAAAATAGTATAGTGGCTCCTCAAAAATTAGAAACAGAACTACCATATAATCAAGCAACTTTGTATCTGAGCATGTATGCTAAAGAAATGAAGTCAGGAAGGCTGAGGATTTAGCTCAGTAGCAGAAGTGCCTGCCTGGCAAATGTGAGGTCTTGAGTTTGATCCCTGGCAAAATAAATAAATAAATAAAGTAAGTCACTATAAAAATATAATATATTCCCACACTTATTGCAGCATTTTTCCTACGAGTCAAGATATGGAATCAGTGTAAGTGTCTGTCAGTGGACAGAAGCTGAAGAAAATACAGTAGAATACTATTCAGCCTTAAAAGTAGGAATCTTGTCATTTGAGACAGCAGGAATGAATCTGACATCATGCACAGAAAGATAAATACTGCATGATCTCACTTCCATGTGAAATCTAAAACAGCTGAACTCATAGATGCACAGAGCTTCTACGGTTACTGAATCCTTGGGGAAGCCAGATGGGAGGATTATTCAAAGAATACAAAACTCCACTTTATTCTGCAAGAAGAATAAATCCAGGAAATCTATTGTATAATACAGTGACTACTGACCATAATTAGCAAGAATGCATTCACTGCTTGAAAATTGCCAAGAAAGTAGATTTTGATGTTCTCACCAACAAAAACTTCAAAGAGTGTGAGTTAACGGACATATTAAGAAACTTGATTCAGTCATTCCACAATGCATCCAGATATCAAAGCATCATGGTGTACACTCGAAAGATACAACTTTTGTTCATTAAAATTAAATAACTTCTTGAAAAAGAGCAAGCTTACCTTCCAAATGGAAAGACACAAAAGTCAAAATAACCATAGATCGATGACTATTCTTTATCATGTAAGTGCAGTTCATGTTGTTGTCATATTTCTTTGGAAAGTTTGGAGAAATAATGTAACCTGAAGAGTCAGTGAAGTTGTGGCCACATCCTATGTGAGAACACAAAAAGCATCATCAGGACATTTATTCTCACATGTAGTATCTATTTAATCAGTAAAGAAAAGATGCCATTCTCAGGCTGGGAAACTTCTACTATTCTCGTTCATTTCATTGGCATGCAGTGGCCATGGAAGTGCCTCCAGGTAACCAGCTAGGAAAGGTGAATCCCCCAGAAAGTGGCTCCCCAAGTTTGCTGACACAACAGGTCTCTGGATAAGAGGTCAAACAGGCAAGCCCATATGTATGGAAATGCTGGCTTCCAATGATCTGCGCTTGATGCCCCCAAATCTGCAGGTTTTTCAAGCCCCCAAGAGATTTTGATATAGGTAGTCAATATGCCCTGAGCCAGAAACAGTGATCATCTAGCTACAGTCACCTAAGCATCTGCCAAATATCTGCATCTCTGGATTCTAGGTGTGTGTTTAGATGTTGGCTGAGAGCACCTAAGTCTTTTTCATCAGTTCCAGTCTCGCTGATATTTGAAGGATGGGTGTCCTTTCCAGATAAGGTGACTCATTCCTGCTCCTCTCAAGTCCCCAGTTCAAGTTACCCCTGTATGGCCATTCATTTTGCCCCAGCACTGATGGTGACACCCACACTTTTGTGGTAACACCTGGGCTTGGTTTTCAGTGCTACTCACGGCTTATGAAGGATGCAGAGAAGCCCTGGGCTGGTGCCTCCTCAGACTGGAAGACCATAGTGAATGCATTTGTTGATATGATGATGGGACTGGGAGCCACATCCCCACATCGTTTGGTCAACAGGCCTTCAATGGTCTTCACAGGTCCTGCCCACACCTAGCAGAGGGCCATAAACAGGAGTTAGTGCCTGTGGTTTTCCCCTATTGATACGTTAATACGCTTAGGTTTTAAAATAATGATCCTCAGATACACATAGCAAAAACATAATAGTAAATAAGACACAAGCCAAAACATTTAAATAGTAAATAAAACACAAGCTAAAATATTAAACAGACTATTTTTAAATAGTCTGTCCCATTTTTACTTCCAAAAGAGATTTTGTTTATTTTTGTTTCACTATTTTTTTTAAAATCAATCACTATTGTATTCTTCTGAACTCCCAGGTGACCTGATCTACATGAGACTGCCTTCCTCATGACACATTTGGCAACATCTAGAGGTATTTTTGATTATTACATTTGATCTGTGGGGTGGTAGTACCTAGTGGGCGGAGGCTGGGTGTATCAACACCCAAGATACTCCCCACTCCCACTCCCACACAAAACTGAGAATTACCTGATCCAAGAAAGTAATTGGATATGGATTAGTCTTGTTGAACTATTCAACATTTTCTTCACATCAAATTATACAAATTGATTCATTTTGAATATATCTTTTTCAAGGATATTCCTCAAGCAGAACAAAAAACATAAAGCCATAATAAGAAATATTTCCATTGGGAAATCAGTCTATAGGAAGAGGTATGAAATAGCACTGATTCCTAGCTCTCATTTAGTATTACTCTTTAAAGCCATGTCATTTCAATTGATTTTCAAACACATGATGTGGGTATGTAGCTATTTGTCATCTCACTGCAGATGAATTATATTTGCCATTTATTAGATATTGTAAGTGTCACTAGAGCTACTGAGAACAAGAGTACACATAATTCTGTATAATGCCTAAGATTGATTAAAATGTCTGGAAAGGGATATTTTACTTAACACCCCCAATTTGACCTAAGGTTTGGTTAAAGCTCTAAGATTTTTTTCCCCTCCTAATCAACTATCTATGGAGACAGTATGCAAAATTTCCTATCTACATTTTATAAAATGATAAACGTGACTTTCTAGGAAATATTTATCTGCACTATTCTGAGAAAGATTACATCACTAACAGATACATATTACTAAACACATAAAGTAAAGGAAGAGCTACAATTTTTAATAAAGTATCTTTTGACCTAAGAATATAAGCTTAGTATAGATAATGCGAAGTGGTAGAGTTATTAAGTATCCAGTGCTTCCTTGTCAGTCTAGAACTCCTGATCCAGGACTCATCAAAACTATGTTGATCTACAGCATGTCACTAAATTGCCATCTGGTCAAAAGTTCTTTGACTGTTGTCAGAGTTTTATATAATTCAGTCTTACTGTTAGTCATATTTTACCACACAAGTTAATTATTTTCTAGAAAACAAATGTTTACTTATATAATTATCAATTCACATGCAGTTGTGAGATAAAATACAGAGAAATCATTATGCATAGTTTTCAGTTTCCTCAACTTTCATAATCAGGTGATTGGCATCTTTCAAAACTATTCATAATCTTGTTGATATATATGCAACCAACCAATTCACCAGTTTCCCAATTTTGCTTGCACTAGTGCTTATGTATTAAATGTTACAGAAAACTGGTTTATTTTTTATTTTTACTTTTTATTTTTTGTTCTGGAGATCAAACTTATGATCTCATTCTTACCAGACAGGTGCTGTGCCAGGGAACTATATCCCTGATCCAGCTTATACATTAAATTGCACACAAGTTGTATACAACAGCATTCAAGGACTGTACAGTTCTAATGCCAAGAGGATACCTAGAGTTACTCTTTTATGACCATGCACAATTTACTCCCACATGCTCATCTCTTTAAGCTCTATTTGCATTTCATCTTTAACCACTGTCATCTTAAATATTATATAAATGCCTTCTTTGAAGACAGTCAACATGATCTGCATACTCTAATGACATTTTTATTTTTGTCTAACCAGTATGCCTTTTATTTATTTTGTTTCCTTCAATGAAATATCTGGAACTTTCAGTATTGCATTAAACAAAAGTGGTGAAAATGAACATTCTACCTTTTACCAAGTTCACAGGGAAAGTGTTCAGTCTTGCACCACTGAGTATGACAGTAACAGGTGGAGTTTTTAATATGCTTTTATCAATTTGAGCAATTCCTATCTATTCCTAATTTTGTGTGTGGGGGTTATAAATCCATGTTTACTTCCGTCAAGTTTTTCTTGCACCAATATATGATTATATGATGTTTGTCTTTAGCATGATAATATGATCCAATACACTGGTTATTTTTCCACTGTTGGATCAATAAGCCCATTTGGAATAAACCCCACTTGCTCATGGTATATCAATCTTTCCATATATTGTTAGATTTATGTTGCAAGAGAAAGTTAAGCATCTGCATGTAAGTTCAACAGATATAGACTCTAACTTTCTTTCTTTTTTTGTAAACTGCTTGTATCTGGTTTTGGTCTCAGAATAATTCTCATTTCACAGAGTAAATTGGGAAGTGTCTATTTTCTGAAAGAAACTAAGGTTGGTATGATTTTTTTGATAGAATTTTTCTAACAAAATCACTTCAGATTTCTTTTTCACATGTTTTTCAGTTACAATTCAATTTCTTTAATACTCATAGGGCTATTTTGATTATTTCATATGGTTGTATTTTGGTAGCTTATGTTTTACAGTGTGTGAAATAGTGGTCTCTGAAAGACATGTCCATATTGTATTCCCTGGATTCTATAGCTATTACCCTATTTGGAAAATGAGTGCATTTGGCTAATTAGGGGCCCTAATATGAGGATTTCAGCATGAATCATCTTGATGGTACTTAAAATACAACAGGAGTTCTCACAAGAGACACAGATGAGACACACAGAGACAGAAAGAGACAATGTGTCCATTGAGGAAGAATGTGACCACTAGCCACAGTGCTTGGAGTCACCAGAAACTAGAAGAGGCAAGAAGCTCTCACAGAATGTTTGGAAGGAATTGACACCATTATTTGGGACTTCAGGTTCCCTGAATTGTTGAAAAAATAAATCCCTGTTGTTTAAAGACATTGAATTTGTGACAGTTGGTTATGCTAGTGGTTTAAAAGAATTGGACCATTTATGCAGAGTTGTTATTTATGAACATAACTTGTTTATAGTATTTTCTAAACATTTTTCCCATAGCTGCAAGGTTTTAGTGTTATCTTTTATTTCATTCCCATTTGATATTGGCGATTGTGTTTTTACCTTTTATACTCATCAATCTTGCTATCAAGTTTTTAAAAGCCATCTTTTTGTTTTCTTGCTTGTTCCTATTTTCAGGATCACTAATTTCTAATTTCTGTTTTCATCTTTATTACTTTTTTTGCTTCTGCTTTGGGTTTATTTTAGTCTAGTTACTTTATATAAAAACTTTATGAATGACTTCAGAATTTTATTTCTCTTTAGTGGCTACATCCTAAAGATTTTGATAGATCTTATTTTCATTTTTTCTCTATTCTGTGTATTTTTGAAGTTTCTTTGACATTTCTTTTTTGATTTGTGGATTATTTGTTTAATATCTATGTATTGACAGATTTGAGGAGTTCATCTCCTTGACAAAGCCTACATGTGAATTTTCAGGCCTTCTCACAGGCAACTACAAGTTTTACTTGGCTGGCCTAGCTTGGGTCCTCCTTAGACAGGACTTGATGACAACCAGTACTCCGCAGTCTCTGAAGCAGGTGCAGTCAGGACTCTGGCCCCCATGGCGGTACCTTTTCACATACATCTGCAGCTCTAACTTGGGTACCTTCATTTGTAGGTCTCCTTTCCTGAGGTCTCCAGCTGAAGACTCTCCAGGCACATTTGCAAGACCTCTTTATCAGAAGGATAAGAAAACCTAAAGACATTCTTATCCATTCTGAATCAGTATTTAGAACGTTTTTATTTTTGTTTGAGGCTCACTGAGCATGAGAGAATCTCTCTATGATGGAGACCACTACGAAGCGGCTATGGGTAGGATTTAAAATTAATCAATTGAGTTTCTATGTTTACTTGAGAGTCTGTCCCAGGCCTAAGTCCTTTGTCTAGAGATGCGTAGTAGATTGACAGTAAGTGAACATCAGTGAATCACTGTCTGAGGCCTGTAGTGGCCTGTGATGCCAGAGACACCTCATAGAACAAGATAAAGCTGAAGACACCTGGCTCCAACCCCAATTACCTAGAGACGGCAGCTTCAGGTGTTTCACTCCAGCTGTCTCAGTCCAGCCATGAATGTTAAATTAGCATAATTTAATACCTGGAGAAGTCTTTGAAATGACTTCTAAGGTCCTACTCAGTTCCCCCGCTTTTCTCACTGTCCTCTCCCTTTGTTTGAAAACCAAATAAATACGGGCCACCCAGAGAAGTTCTTTGTCTTAGCTCTCAGAATCTTAAATTGTTCTAGAGGGTTTTGATTCTCCCAGAGCCCTAAATTCATACACTTGTCTCATTTATTTAAATCTTCACTGTCCACTGATTTGGGAGGTTGTGGCCCTGATCAGTCTGTGATCCCTCTACACCAATGTTCTTGATCTTTATCAGGTGTTGTTCCATGAAGAAGAATATGTTTGGCTGAGAGAGCACTTTTACCTATTTAGTCTCTTCCTTATACCACTGCAATAAGTGATTAAAGATTTACCTGTAACCTTTGCTTTGGGTGGTCACTTCTCTCCAGATCAGCTCAACCTTTGGCAAGATTTTATTTCTTATTGCTGTTCCCCTTGATTTAGATACAGTCAAAGAGAACACTCTGCATTCAATTCTTTAACTTGTTGAGATGTTTTGATATCTCCATATATGGTCTACCTTGGTATGTTCCAAGGATACCTAAAAATGTGTGTATTCTTTTGTCATTGTACAGTTTTTTTCTGTGTATGACAATTACATACTACTGGTTGATGGTTTTATAGAGTTCCACATCCTTGATAATTATCTTCTACCTGTTCTATAAATTACTAACTGTTGAAGTTCTCAACTATAATTGAAGATTTATCTATTTCTCTTTACAGCTCTATCAATTATTGCTTCATGTATTTTGTAGCTCTGATGTTGGATGCATAAATATTTAGAATCATTCTGTCATCCTGGCGGAATAATCTTTTTATTATTATGTAAGATCTCTTTTTACATAGTAATCATTTTCCATACTCTGAATTCTACTTTATCAGATAGTATTATGGTCATTCTTGCTTTTTTAAAATATTTAAATATTTGCATAATCTATCATTTTTGATCCTTTAACTATCAATTTACCCATATGTTTGAATTTGAAATGATTTTATTATCATGTTTTGTGTCCAATAATCACTATATTTTGATTGGTGTAACTAAACAATTTAAAATTAAACTGTTGATATGTATTTGTGCTATGTCTGCCATTTTATTATTTATTTTCTGTGTACTGCTATTGCTTCTTGTCTCTCATTTGTCTTTTTTGAACTTGGAAATGCCATTTTGAATTAATTATAGTGGTTTTGGGTTTATCTCTCTATATAATTATGGCAGTTGTCATTGTTCTGGGTATGAATATACATACACATGTGATTATAACCATATACACTGGACCACCTTGAATAAAGTACAGAAGTTTAAGGTCCATTTAGGTCCTTTTACCTTACTGATTTATTTATTTGCTTGAGCATCAGAGGGTACTATATTTTTTTGTTTTAGTTATTAAATATTACTCAAACACTACAAAGACAGTTCCATTGTGTGCATGCATTTATGCTCTTTATATGTTCCTTTGTCCCTTCTGGATGTTACAAGATCACTTGTATCATTTCATTTTTTTTTTTTTAAGTTTCCATTAGGGCTGGGGATTCAGCTCAGCAGCACAAGCGCCTGCCTGGCAAGCATGAGATTGTAAATTCGATCTCCAGTACCAAAAAAAAAAAAAAAAAAAAAAAAAAAGTTTCCATTAGACAATTGGAACAACATCTACCTAATTTCCCTTTAAATGGTAATATTTTGTTTTTACCTTATTTCTAAAGGATAATTTTCCAGATATAAAATTTTTGATTGAACCTTCTTCTCTTGTGTGCCTTGTTTCTTTGGCTACTCTTTTAATTGCATCCTCTTCTCTCCTTGTGAGACTGTAATAATATGAATGTTGAACCTTTCATTATGGTTCTTGGGTCCTAAGACTGCTAGTATTTCTGTAGTCTAGTTTGTCTTGATTTGACAGAGGGGCTGAATTCTATTGCCCATCCTCAAGTTCACTGATTCTATTTTCTCTCATCTGAGTTTATCCAGTGAGTTATTTACTTATATTATATTTTTCAGTGCTATAATTCCCATTTAGTCTTTCATTGTAACTACTATTTTTTATTGATATTTTGTATTTTTTGTTTCCTTAAAACCTGTCAGTGAAAGTTGGAGTGAGTTATCTGTGATGGCCTTACTCAATTGTGTTTTTCTCAGTTAAATTGTGATGGTCTTTGTTCCTGTTACGATGGGTTCTTTTTATTTTTTATCTTTTATGTTCTTATTTATTATCTTTTATATTCTCCTGGATACTTTGTTTATTATGTTAGGAGACTCTGGATTCTATTTAAATATTTTCTTTAGTAGGCAGTCATCCCATTTAGGTTTTGTATGTGATCTTGCATTCTTTTTGAGGTTGTGATTCCATTGATTATTTTTTAGAATCTTTGTGGCTTAATTTTGAACTGCTTGGTTTGTATGGTTACTATGGGGTTACTCCTGGCCACTCCAATTGCTTTGGATAGGGAAAAAGCATCTCTGGCTCCTGAGGACCAAAAGGCTTCTTGGACTTTTGTCTGTTCTGCCCACGTATCTCTGCGTGAAAGACAGTCTTGGTTCAAAGGTAAAAAGAGGCTTCCCACCCAAGGCTGCTTGCTGCTGTGTTCTTCTTACCCACGTTAATGCCTTGTGGCAGAAGTGTGTTCTCAGGTCCAGTGGGAGGAAAAGAGAACTTCCCTACCACTTACTCTTGGCAAGGTTTACAAACGATCTCATGTAGCACGGGCTTGTGTGGTCAGAGTCCTCTATTCTATTAGTGGGGGAATGAGCCCAAGTTATTTTCAGTTTCAATTTTTACAACTGGAGAAATGAATAGACTTAGTTAAATCTGTACACTTGATATTGACTCATTACTGAGAAGACAGTTCACTTATTTTACGGGAAAAGCAATTAGTAAAAGTATATATTAAATGTTTTACTATGTGCATGTTTTATATAAGTATTGGATTTTCATTTAAATAGGAAGCATGAATCAATAAGATATAAAACATAATTTGAGAGCTCATATGAAATAACATTAACAAAAAAGCCATTTCTGCTCACTAGATGATTTTATATTCCAAGTGCTGAGCACTATTATGATATGATATCATCTTACTTCTAATGCTTAAAACAGCCTATTAAAATAGAAAGCATTCTACTCGTCTTACAGTTGAGTAGTAGGAAATTCAAGTGTTTAATTTGCTCACAAAAGAACATGCATGTGTTAGCTATGAAAGAGAATGGAGTCCTGACCCCCATGACCTTAGGGTCAGTGTTCTTCCCACTAAAAGGCATAGTCACTCAGAGATATATAAAATGGAGAGGAGCACGGATGGCATGAATTTATAATGCTACCATCATTGCTGTGTCAGTGGGATGTGAAAGTGCCCTATGAGTAGGATCTGTAACTTTAGAGAAAGAAGGCCTTGCCGACTCCCCATTGCATTCATTTTTATAAAGGTGTCTCACGCTCTTTTCAGCTTATGGGCTTTCAAAGCTCAAGGTGAAGATTGCATTAACTACTTTTCCAATTTTCTGTACTTCTTACAGGACACATTAAAGCTGGCCTGTGAGGCCACTGTGTTCTCGTGCATGGTGGCCTTCCCTCACACTCCAAGGTGTACTTCTTTTCCTACTTTTACTTGGCTCAAACTTAGTCTGCAGATCCTGTTTTCTCCCTACCTTTAATAAAACTTTGCAAAAGAAAAAAAAAGAAGCTTGCTTGTGAGGGTACCTCATACTGTAAAGGCATTCCCATCTACAGAAAAAGAAGGGAGGAAAGAAGAAAAGAAAAAAGGGTGAAATCAGAAAGCCTGCTCTCCTTTTTTTTTTTTTAACAGAAAGAAAGTACAATTAATGCTCATGAGAATTCAATAGGGCCAGACAAAAATATCCTCCACTGAGTTACTATTTCTAGCCATTAGCAGATGAAAAGCTACAGTGCAGCATACGTATTGTGCTTCACATTTTAACTTCTATTCACTGAGGCTTCTCACTTTGCATCCAAGAAATGTGAGCAGCATTTCTTCCATTGAGGGATGGCTGAGTCATTTGTAGCCTAAACGTTTATGTTCACAGAACTAGTTTGGCTCCAGTTAAATAAATAAGTGCACTAACCATCACAAAGCTGTTCTGACACTGTCCATTGGCACTGGGGATTCGGAAGTTGCTGTCAAAGCTGAGCTCCAAGTGTTTACTTGCGTGAGTTATGACTGTCCAGGAACATCTGCTATTTTCAGGGAAATTCTGTGGCCAGTGAGGCGTTTTGATTGTACCATTATCTGAATGAAATGTTCCACCACAACCTGAAAAATTTTCATGGAAAAAGTCATTACTCTGCAAAGAAAACAACAATTCTGGAAATTTAAGACTGCTAGAGAGAAACATTTCTAAATGTGAGCTCTAAGTTCATCATCCCTTACCCATGATTCATCTTTGGAGTCAGTTCACAGCAAGAACTCTCAATAAATATAAAACACATTGAATCAAGAGGAGACTTCAGCTGTTCCTATTGTGTTACACCTATGCTGAATTCCTCACCTGAAGGAGGACAGATCTCTATACTGTCTTCAGACAATGGCAATATTTCTTCCTTCCCTTGAGGTTGTATAGTTTGTATAGCAAGGCAATACAAGTTTGGTATTTTATTATCACTAATGCATAAAAATATGATTCTATATTCATTTATAATTTTACTCTAACACACTGAAATGTCAAAAGTAATTTTGTATTGAGGAAAGCTTCTCCCACTAAGTGATCTTAGTCATCTGTACTGAAATTGATTGATGGATAAATCATGGAAGGAAAATAAATAACAGGGATTTAAAGAAAGAAAAATCTATAATCATTTTCATACTATTAAAATGACAAATAAAATATGAATTCAGCAAAAAAAAAAAATAGGAGGTTAAATGAAAGGGCACTCCTTACCTCTTTGGATTTTATTTACCTCTTCGAAAACTATTTGTTCATTTAAAACTCACTTATGACTTCAACAATAGCCAGAGTGTTAAGCAAAGTTTGGACTAATTCTACAAAGATCTCCATAATAAATTTTACTCTATGAGAAGGAACTGTCCTATGTGTCCTTTGTGAAATTATAATTTATTGAAATTCTAAATAAAGTATCTGATACAAGTTTTTATATTATGAGAATTTTCAAAAGGTTTATATTTTATAGACATGAAACCTACTCAAATCTGTTACATTATCTTCTTTGTTCAAGGTCTAATATATAAACTGCAACTCTTTTTTGTTTTTTATTGGTACCGGGGATTGAACTCACGACCATGCACTTGCAAGGCAGGCACTTATGCTGCTGAGCTAAATCCCCAGTCCCTATAAACTATATGTCTTTATGATACAGACTACTTAGTTTCCTGCATTTACTGTCCTAAGCATTCTGCTTTTAAACTCTGAATATTTTAAATGGCTTGTGATTCTAACATCTATTCCTATTACTTGAGATTTCCTGGTTGCTCCTACTTTTTGTCCATGAAGTCTGTATCATGAAGTGTTTAGATAAAAATTTCTAAGCTCATCTGCCTTTTATTAAAATCTTGGTTATCAGCTATATATTTTAGGCAAATTATCTACCTAATCCTCATTTTTTGTCCATGCAAAATACAGCAGATAGATATTTATACTGTTATCTTTCTACAGTTGCTACATGAAATGATATGTGTAGATAGCATTAAATCCAACAGAACAGGTACCAAATGTGTATGGTTGGCCTTCTATATTAACAGTTCTATATCTAGAGTCAACCAAGAGCAGATCATAGATATTTTTAAAAAATCCGTATGCACTGAAGAGGAACAGAGTATTTTTTCTTGTCTTTATTCACTAAACAACACAGTGTAACTATTTAGATAGCATCTACATGGTACTAGGCATTATAAATAACCAAGACATGATCTAATACATATGGAAGAATGCCTATGGGTTATGTGCAAATATTATGCTATTTTATAGAAGGAATTGGAGCATCTTCAGATTTTTGTGTCTGTTGGAGTTCTAGAACTAATTCCCTTCATAAGCCAAGCAATTACATTTTTAAAATTAGATATAAAACTATCTCATGGAAAAGTACAAGTTCAGAGAAAGCCTTATTTACCTAAAGTTTCAGTGCTCCATGTAGCATAAAATCCGCCATGTTGTATTGAGCTGTCTGAGTTAAAAATCACGGTGAGCTGGTTGGAACCAGATTGTATTGTCCTGGGGTTGGAAGTTCCACAGTACTGTCCTAAAATGGGTGATTCAGGGGAGCCGCCATTCCTGACAGTGACCGAGTCCCAGGCACAGGATGCATGGGTTTCAATGTCAAAGTTACTAAATGTAAGCTGCCAAAGGAAAAAAAAAATACTGAGACACTCTGAGCTGCAAATGCATTCATCTACCTTAAGGGAGATAAATCCTTACAAATATTTTTATTCTGTATTAATTCATATAATTTTGTGTTCCTATCTCTTAATTTCTTCTTCTTGATTCTTTTTCCTTGTTAACCTCTCTTTTGAATATCTAGAAAGGGTCTTTTTCTCCAGGTAGTGGCATCATTCAGGGGACTCCAGAAGTCTCCTGGTCTAGAATGCAACTCAAATGAAAGACATGAATACACTTCTCTCCTGGATACAGACTGATCTTCTATGTACAAGTTCTCCTAAACTTGCAAATGACAGCATTTTTTAGTAATCATGGACTCAAAGATATCAAATGAGATACCTAGCCAAGAGAATTTTAGGGAGAAACAATAATTAGATTGCAGAAGCAAAGCCTGCTCAAGTCCCTTGCTTACTAAGCAGATTCTGACTGCATGACAATCTATACCCACGCTCAGAACTCACAATGATGGTGTGTCCTACTGGGGCTTCCAGCAGCCATGAGCAGTGAGTTGAGCTACTGTAAAATCCAGGATAGTTGGGGCTGGTGATCACTCCAGCCTCTCCCATTTGGATTCCACCACAACCTAAAACCCACACAAAGGCACAGTTGTATTTAGAGTTATCATACTTTATGATAAAATACAATGGATGAATAAAATAAAAGCAAAATGAGGTGTAATAATATAAACAAAAGAATCTCATATAATGTTAACTGAACAGAATCACAAAATGATATGATCTCAAGTTAAGACAGAAGGAGAAGAAGATAATCTAGATTATAAATAGATATATTGTATAACTTAAAGTAAATGCACTAGAAACAAAGTAAATAACATTGCCTTTGTTAAAAAAAACTGGGCCAATGAAAATAAAGAAGTTTGAAGAAATGATTAGTCCCATAATTAAATACTTTATTATTTGATAATAGGTGCATAGTGAAGCATTAAATTATACATAAACATGTAAGTTGAAAAGATGATATATTTATAAAGCTAGGATGACCTTATGAGCAAAACACATAACATGGCTTCTTGAAGCCTAAGTCTTTTCTTTCAGTCTGACAAAACTAAACTGGAAAGATGGTTAAGTAAATAAAATCCTTACCCCTTTAATAAACCATTTGGTTATAACACAAAGAAATGTTGGATAAAACTGTAAACAAAACATATTTTGATTCAGAGTTGAACTCAATGGGAAAAAAAAAACAAAACAAAACAGGACTCTCCAAAATCTGTCAGCAGTAGCGCTGAAATGTAGCAGTGCAATCCCAAAAAGAAAGTGTGACAGTCTGGGAAAATAAAGAACCAAGATATGTGCGCTGGGGCTGGGGCCTGAGATTCTGGTGGCTATGAAGGAAGACAGGCTGTGACCTTGGACTTCCAGAAAAGGAAGGGCTGGAATTGAGCCTTTTATATAAAGTTGAGAAGCTAAAAGGATAATAGCCTTATTATGTAAAAATCTCTGATAACCAATGGAATCAGCAAGGAGTAGCTATACATCTTGGGCTGAATTTTCAGTTATAAACTCTGAATGTCACAGATAAAAAATTAATATGAAATGTTAGCAAATAACATGCAGTAATAAGTGTAAAATATGTCATCACCAAACACAATTTATTTTGGTAGTGTAAGAATAGTTTAATAAAAGAAAAAACATTTCTAAAATATAAAAAACGAAAAATAGGATCATCTCAACAGATAGAGAAAAATATTTGATAAATCTTTTTCTAAAAATTCCTATTTTTTTTACTTTGTCCTTAAAAAAATAAAATGACTCTCTTTAATCTGAATAAAAGGATATTTGAAATCTAAGACCAACCAATATGCTGAACAATAAAATCTCATATACATTCACGTTAAGGTCACCATCTTTTCTGTTCAATATTATAACAGTTACCCTAACCAATGGAATAAGGCAAGGAAAAGAAGTATTTAAGGCCTGAAAAATAACAGACCTTTCATTTGCAGGACACATGATTTTTTACATTGAAAAATCAAGAATTGAACACAATGTATTAAAACCAGCAAGAGTGTAACAAGACCTCTAAAATAAAGGCAAATGTATAAAAATTATAAAATTTCTAGCTAGCAACAATAAACTACTAAATGTAATTTAGAAAAATTTCATTGACATTATTTTCAAAAATTAATTACTACCTAGAAACAAACGTCATAAAATATTTGTTATATTTTTATGGAAAAGATTATGAAAGTTTAACTATGATTTCATTGCCAGAGAATGAGATATTAAACAGTCTTACCTGTAAATAAATACTGTGCATGGAATCCTTTGTGTTCCTCACGTTCGTTCGTGACAAAGTGTATCCACACCTGAGGATACGGTATTACCAGTGGTACTGTAGGCTGTGTAGGGCCACAAAATCTCCCCAACAGAGGCCCTTCAGAATCACCTGATAAAATAACACACCAAGTGCTTTTTATTTATATAGCTTTTGAAAATATATTTAATGAAGTCAATAAAAAGCATTGCACAAAGTCACAAAGTTTCTCTGTCTTTGTTAACTGCAACAGAAGAGGTTCCTCTGATACAGTAAACTAAAAACCAAAACAAACAAAAAGCCCCAGATGTTTGTTACTACTTGTGTTAATTCATTCCGATTTGTGTTTTGATAAGTACTTTAGCGTAGTTAAACAGAGATACAACTAATTTTAAAAACCCTTTTGAGTATACCTTTTTAAGGGAGTAACATGTAATATCAATGGTGATAAAATATATCCACAGGATAAAGGTGGTAATTGCCTAAACCTTTAAGAATGTTCTCACTGTATTCAATCAGTGAAAACGAAGAGAATATTCCATACTCAAGCCAAGAACTGTCAAGATTTGAGCTGAATGTGTTTTATGAAGATTACTTTTCACAGAAATTTGATTAATGTTTATGGAGCACCTAGAAAACTCACATCCATCTGCTATTTATTCTGTCAGATGAACATCACTGATCTTATAAATCAATGAAATATAGTATTTTAACTGCTTCTAAATGTGAAGCAATAAAGAATGAATGGCATTTGACTGACTGAACTTTATATTCAGCTATTTTGCTTGATTCTATAGTTTTCAGCAGGAAGAAGCAGTGAAGCTTATCAGATTTTCATAGAGAACATTATTAAACTACAAATTTAATTTCCCTCATAAGACCTTTCTGGACTCAACAACCTCAGAGAGTTAGGATGATTTCTCTTGTTGAATCCCGTGATCCGTGAACATAGACTGTCTCACATTCTCCTACTACTGATTTCTATAATTGTCTAAGAACATCCCCACCAACTAAATAACTTTTGCTGCTTCTACATTTTTTTTCTCTAAATTTTTGGATGAGGTAGAACTCAGTAAATCTTTGATAGCACGGATTATCTACAATATTATTGTCCTATATCCTTGCATATATATTTATTAGGAAACAATGTTGACATAGGGTCAAATTGTAAACACAGACCCACCTCACTGAAACTCAGTGCTTTTGTTTTCCTCAGCTGGGCACAAAAGGAATTAAGGTTTTGTTTCAGCTGTTCTTTTGGATCTTATGTAACTATATAGTGACCATTAATTCCTTTGATTCTTTGTGGTCTCCAAGTGTATTAGCCAGCTTTGGTTGCTGGGACAAACTACCTGACACCTTCAATTTAAAGAAGGAGAGCTTTATGAACAAAGTCCTAGGACAAAGGTCACAGTGGCTGCATGATTGAGCATGGTGAAACAAATCCTAGGGAACCAGTTTTCATGGAGGACCTTCTGGTGTAGAGGCCCAGATGAAAAGCTCTAGTCTTCCGCACTCTTCAGCCTGTGGTGGGTGGGGTCTTGCTGTTCCTGAGATGTGGTCAAGGCATCTCTCTTCTTGTCTCAGTTTATAGTTCCTGCTTTCTTTCTACTAGTACTAATCTCTTCAGCTGCTTCTCTCCCTTGGCTGCAAAACTATACATCCTTTGTTTTCTGGCCAAACTTCAACTTTTTCAAATCTTTCTGCTTTGCTTTATGTTCCTGATTTTCACTACAAATCTGGCTAAAGACAGTCAGCAATTCTCAAGCCATAAACAGAACATTGGGCTGCCTTGAAAATTCTTCTGCCAGATCAATCACTCTACTGCCTTTCAACAGCTTCATACAACATTGTAGGCGATGGAGAAAATGTAGATGAATTCTTTGGCAAAACGTAACACAGGGCTGGGGATTTAGCTCAGCAGCACAGTGCCTTGCCTGGCAAGCACAAGGTCATGAGTTCAATCCCCGGTACCCCCCCCCCCAAAAGTAACACAAATGGCCGCCAGCCCAATTCCTATCGCAGCCCTCATTCCCAGTGGAAGCCTCATGAACCTGGCCTTGATTTTCCTTATCTGTATCAGAATACTGGTTTTCTCTGTCTGGAATCATCCATCAGTCTTTACTTACAGCACTCATGGATTTCTCTAGATTGCTTCTTGAAACTTTCAAACTCCTACCTAAGTAGTTTAGAAATGTTTTAGTGCTGACTTTCAGGAAGAGTCTGGAAAAGTTTCAAGAAGCAATCTAGCAGGGAACAATGCAGCAAAGATGCTCACTTCATGGAAGCTGGGACTAGAAAGACAGCCAGAGAGGAAGAGGTCAGAAACTAGATACAGTCTCCAAGGTCGCACCACCACGACACATCTGGAAACACTTAAAAGTATGCTCTGCTATTCCTCAAGGTGCTACTCAAGCCAATCAAAGTGAAATATCACACCAAATATAAGACAAATACTGTAAATAGAGAATGTGTTCTTCGATAGCACTCACCTGCTCGAAACTCAAGGACATCAGATTGACAGTCTTGATGACTTTCAAGGGCAAAAGCCCCAAAATTAATATAAATAGATGAATTTTCCTGATTTGGATTGATGAGAGTCCATTCACAGTTTAGATTGCTTGAGTAATTATTGACTCCATTATAACCAGGAGAAGTAAAGTTTCCTTCTTGGGCATTTGTAAGAAACCCACCACACACTAAGAAATAGCAACAGAGAAATTAATAGTAAAATTTATGCTGTAAGAGAAAATGCCAATAATCCAAGAGCAGAAAATAAAGTAACAACTGTATTTATTACTAAATATATTTGTCTTTCTGGATGCGGTCTGAGGTGTTGATAAAAGGCGTGTAGACTATGAAAGAAATTTCTGAGTTGATGTAGGAGAGATAGGCAACAATAAAGTTTATTTCCCTATTGGTTTAGAGTAGATGGCTCAGATAATCAGCACCTTTAAATTTGTGCTTGTTGTTCATTAATATTCAATTTAGAAAGGCACCTCTATATATTGGTGGTAAGTCCTAGTAACTTCTGATTAGCAGTTCTCTACTCGATCCCCAAAATTAATTGAATCAAAGTATAACATGGGCTACCAATGAATTTGAAAATTTTATATGGCAATGAATGTCTCTTATACCAATGAAATAATGTAAAAAAGTTTTTAAAATTCATTTTCATTTTTTCTAAATTTTAAAAACTTCACATAATAGCACCAATACAAAGGTCAGAAAATATCAGCAGAGATCATATCTTGCTTGATTATGAATATTTTTATCAAATGTAAATCCTTCCATTCATTTTTTACTGGAAATATGTATATGATTAGTTTTTCATAGTAAAAAGTGTCTCTGGAACAAAGTTACTTTCTAAAACATAGATGGTATCTTCAACACAAAAGAATTCACCAAAGACTGGATCTGAATCAAATTCTCATGGCAATGGAATTATGCTACAATCCAATTAATAGAACTTTTAAAAAAAGTTTATAATTTGAAACTGTACTTTTCTTTCTGAAACCTGAAAGTTTTCTTGTGGGACTGGATTTTCTTTTTATGTGTATATGTTTACTTTATGCTGATGACCCCAGGCATAATTATAGTGGCCAGGAAGGAGAAAACAGAAGGCCCTGCTGTGAGTGGTTTCTGCAGGCATCTAGAGTATAACTGATAGAAAGGAGGTGTATCCACAGCATCCTGCTTTACCTGCATCTTCAGTGGATATGTAGGAAGCACTGAAGCCTCCGTGTGGCCGGGATCCATCTGTGAAAAACACAATTTTCATCGTGTTTCCTGAAGATCTTATTGTGTTGCTTACATTTACACTACTACACAGTTTCTCCAGCTGAGGTGAGATACTTCTAATACCATTGAATATCTGTTGGAAAAATAGTTTAACATTTAGATATGGAATTCGTCTTACAGAGTATTTCCTAGAAGATGAGATTCCCAGCCCAGACTGACTTCCACCTGAGGGAACCCTGAGCTGAAATTCACTAACAGTGAAGGCCCCTTTCCTAGGATCACAGGCCAGGATATTATCCTGGACATACGTTGTGGGTTTAGACTCATTTTAGTGAAAGGAAAATATTGCAGTGATGCCTTCCCACCATGTGGTGACCGGTGAAAACTGCTCTATACTGTGTAAGTGGAGACAATGACTGAGATATGAAGTCAGTGTGGGATGATGTTTACACCACAGTTCACAGAGCTTATTGAGGGTCAGTTCTTTCTAATGATTCATTAGGAGCTTTGATAGTTGGACGAAAGGCATAAATGTTAATCTCTAACGTGTAATGTATGTAATAGCTCAAATGCTTTAAAATATCTTTAAAAGTAATTTAAAAATCAATCTCAATATAAATATAATGGCTCTTTCTTAATTATTTATGGATCCAAAGATTCAGTTTTCTTACTCATTTGACTTTTTAAAAAGTGGACCAATATTATTGACCCCACAATATTAAACAATAACTCTAGTTGCTTACATAGTTATGATAACTGGCAAAGCTTTTTTTTTTTTTTTGCTGCTATACAAAACCAAGTGAATGCTTTAGTATGCCTGCTTTCAGAGTTCAAAAAAGACTCAGAAGAAATAATTAAGGACTGATTCACTAAGTGGTTGATATACCTGTTTTTAAAAGGCTTTAAATGGCTCAGAATTAGAAATAATATGGCATTAAAAGCTCTGCAGAAGGGGGCTGGGGATTTAGCTCAGCAGCATAAGCACCTGCCTTGCATGCAGGCAGTCGTGAGTTCAATCCCTGGTACCGATAAAAACGAAAAGGACAAAAAAAAAAAAAAAAAGCTCTGCAGAAGGAAGAAACATTGTGTGACAAAAGAAGTAAGCTTTATTATTTACTGTAATTAACTATTAAATTTTGCACTCTGGCTTCTGTTTTAAAATTTTCTATTATTTGTTGCACAAACACAATGTCATAGTTTGTTAATCACCCACTCAGACTATGTTGGTCAATCTTCACAACATCCTCCAGGCATATACTAATACTCCTATTTCCAGATCAAGACACTAGAATAAGGAGAAATTTGCAATCTGCAGATGTTTAAAGAACTAGCAACATTTGAAGTGGGCTTCTTTCAAACCATGAAACAAAGTATAAAGAAACAAAGATGGAAAGCATTTCAATCACACTGAAAAGAGGAGTGGGTAACACATACTTAGAATGAAAGGGGATTATAACCAATGAGGCTAAGGAGATGTGTTAGAAACCACGTGACCAGTGGCCTTCAATCCTGACTGTGTTGCCTTGGTGTAGAATCACCATGACTAAAACTCGTACAGAGACTCGTTGATCACACGCACATGACAGCCTTTAGAAGCAACTAGAGTGCTATTTCCATTCTGGTTCTCTAATTTTCTTGTGCTCAGAAACTACAGCTCCCAGAAGATAACTGAGTAGACACATGAGATTTGGGACAGATTACAGAATTTTCTATGATAAAGAACAACATCTGGCATGTCTCATGGTACTACACACTAGGTGGTGTAGCCTTTTGTATTCTTTGAACAGAGTCAGACAGCCATCTGGCTTTGGAGGAATTTAAAGTTCAGTCCACCTGGGTATGGTATTAGGCAAGTAGCCCGGCTCCACCTGCAGATCTTTAAAAGGGCTTGCTTCTTCCCTCCCTCCCTCCCTCTGTCACTCTCCTTCCCTCGTTTGCTCCTGCCTTCCTCTCCTCCTTTCTTCCTTCTCTCTTTTGTGGTAAATGTTCAAGTAACTAGAAGGTAGGCAAAAGGCAATCCTCATCTGAAGCAGAGGGCAGAAGCAAAACAAACATAGAATATATATGCAACTATTTTAAAGAAAAGGAAAGTAGACATCATACTAACGATTCAGAAAGAAATGATTTGTGAGAATGATTCTTTGTTTTAATTTTCCCTCTCCAAGAGAAAAGACCTGGAGATGTGAGATTCATAGATGACTAATTAAAAATCTAAGTCAGGCCCTCCAGTACCTCTTATGAAGACTACAAGTTAACAGCCCAGCTATGAAAACAGTGTTTCAATTTTCATATTTCAACCTTAAACAAGAATAAACAGCCAAAGATCATCAGAATCTAGAGATGTGCCTACTATAAAAAGTAGAAGCCAATAGGAGTTAGTAGTAAATTGAAATGTAAAGGAAAGTGACCCTCCAAAAAGCAATATAAAGTCTCCAAATTATGATTAATATATTCACATGTATGAATATACATAATAGTAGACTATATACATTCAGTAATGGTTAAATGGAATAGTTTCAGATATATAGATTCTCAAAAAATCTATCACCCATGCTCATTTTCCTTGGGAGTTACATGTGCATCTCCTTTACCAAAAAAGAAGAAATTAACCGAGAAAACGAAATGCATACTGTTATAAAGCCAGGAAATACATAGTGTTATAAAGTCACTGTGTAACAGCACTGGGGATCGGTCATGAATAAAACAAAGCCTTGCCCTCAAGGAGTTTACATTCTAGTAGTAGGAAAATAAACAGATGAACAAATAAACTAGGTGAGTCAGTTGGGACAAATGCTGTGACAATGACTGTGTGTTAAGAAATAGGCCAGGTGAGTGAGTTTAATTCAAGGTACTTTGAGAAGGCTTCGTGGGTCACAATTGTTGGAGCAGAGACCTGAAAAAAGAGTAGGTATGAGCCAGGCAGTCACTGACAAAGAAACCTTCCAAACAGACACAAAAGCATGTGAAGGCTGGATATAGGAGCATTTTAAGAACAGAACATTTCAAGAACAGAAACGAGGCCAGGTGCTGGATCCTAGCCAGAAGAGCTGAGAAGAATTTGAAAAAAAAATAAATAGGATCTAGGTGTGGCTACATTTGCCTGAGATCCTAGCACTCTGGGAGGCTGAGGTAGGAGGATCACCAAATTTAAGTGTAAGCTTGGCAGTTTACCAAAGCCCTGTCTAAAAACATGCACCTGTGTGTCAGGGGGAAGGCCTTGGGTTCAATGAAGAGAGAGACAAAGACAGAGACAGAGACAGAGACAGAGACAGAGACCTCTCAACAAGAGAAATAACAGATGCACAGAAGAGGAAGGAGCAGCAGATACTGCTGAGGTTAGGTAGGATATCCTAAGACACTGGACGTTTTCTCTGAATGAGGTGAGAGAACATTAGAGAATGTTAATGAAAACAAAACGATCTAAGTAAGTTTTTCTGTGTGTGTGTGTGTGTGTGTGTGTGTGTGTGTGTGTGTGTAATGGGAATTAATTACACAGCCTTGCATATGCTAAGCAGGTGTTCTATCATGGAGCTAAGCACCAGCCTCACCATGCTCTGATTTAGACTGAAACCATCCTAATGGGCTGCTCTCATTATGGGAGACACAAAGGAGGCAGAAAGAGCAGTTGGAAATTATGAAACAACCCAAGTGAGGGGAGGTGATGGTAGTAATGGATATGATGAGTTGTTAGATTCTTCATATTTTCAAAAGATACAGCCAGTGAAATGTGTATATGGATGTGTATGACAGAAAGGACTCCAAAACAGACATCAAGATTTGTAACCTTGAGCCAGGGATTTAGTTTGGTGGTGTAAGTGCCTGCCTGGCAGGCACAAGATTGTAAGTTTGATCTCTTGTAAAAAAAAAAAAAAAAAAAAAAAAGATTTGTGACCTAAACAACCAGAAGTTGGAATTGTTATTTACTGAGATGACAAAGATTGCACAAGGGGGCAATGGTAATTTTAATTTGTCTCCCTGTACACATTTACAATACATATATGCATAGACCTATGTATACATACGTCTTTGATGGATGTATACATGTAGGTATGCATATATATACTAGCTCATGGTTAATAATATTTTCATATTTGTCATTTACACTCATAGATCTCATTTTCTTTCTTTGCTGATGGAAGCTTAGAATGCTGAGCTCACATCTCTAAACCATTTGAGACTGGCCGCACCCAGGGCAGGTAGCCCTGACCTCGCAACTGGATCCCTCAGTGACTCTGACACAGAACATAACTATGCAGGACCATTCATCTACTTAAGAGTCTTCGTGGTGGCTTGTGCTGTGACTGTGATCTGCTTTAGCTATGTGGTGTCTTGGGCTTCACTTTTCTTTATATCCTCTCGTTTGCCATATGCAGTGATCATTCACTTAAAAACATTTTTCTTCCCCATGATCCTGAGGTATGTAGTGATGGTTCACAGAATCCTAAAGCAGGTTTTAGAATTACTTTGGCAGTTTATCGTGACTCTGTTCTATCAACAAATTTAGAATTTGTCTAAAATATAGTTTCATAGATGGCAATATTCTGACCTAGTGATGATTTATGGCTCATAAGCTTCCTCAACAATGGAATATATCATGTGTGCCTGCACAGAACACTTACAATTACATGCTCATTGTTGCAGGATGGATAAGCTGGCAGCCTCAGGTTGCTGAAAGTCAGAGTGATCCGCCTGCCCTCTTGAACAGTGATTCTCCACTCACAGATTCGGCTGTGAGGATTTGGGTTTGGATAGTTGGGAGAAGTAAATGTTCCAGTAGGGTCCTGTAAATCCCCACCACACTCTGAAAGAAGGGAAAGAACAGGAAACATTTCAGTCATTTTACAATTATTCCTTTCATAAGGAAATTAATATTTAATTCTTCCTCTAAATGAAATGGACACCCTTATTTATCACTGTATGTTTGTGAATACTTTTAGAGACCATTTGTGTTTACTTCTTATCTCTATTAATTAATGTTTGCCTTTGTGGACAATAATTCATGAGACAGCACTTTAATTATCATCAAGGCCCACAATATATGAAGGACTATTAAATACAGTGAATTAAAGAAGGCTACAGTAATTATTCAGATTTTCAAAACAAGATCTTTACTTCACCTCTGTTTGTCAAGGTATTTGTGAATATGAATTCTAGGACTAAGGACTAGGACTAGGACCAAGAGACTAGATTTCTTAAGATAGATATCATAATATAATTCCTATCTCTCATTACAGCTCTTTCTTTTGCAGAACTTATCATAGTGGGAATTTTTCATTCATTGGTATGATTGGTGATTTATGTCCACCTCTCCATTAACCATAAGTGCCAAGAAGACAGAATTGTATTGTGTTTTCCAAACTCTTGTAACCTCAGTGCCCAGCACAGTATTATAGCTGAGAAATAGTGGGGCTTTTAGACTCACCTCCCAAACTGGATTCGAACCGAAGCCTGAACCCTGTGGCAATAAGTGAGCCATCCGTGACAAACCTGACAGAGGCAACATTGCTAGAGGTGTCTATGCTTGGAGGAATGGCATTTCCACAGTATCTACCCAAAAGATGTCCTGTGAGGATTAAAGAATATATTCAGGTAATTGATTGTCTACTTGAGATCTTCCACACTTACAAGGTAAACAATAAATGACAGAATCTGTCTTGTAAAGAAATGGGATTCTCTGGGAAGAAAAGCAAAATATCATGAATAAAAGTCGACATATTCAAGTATAGGAAGATGTGTTTTGAAAAATGCAACCAATTAAAAGAGTGTCTCAGCACAATGAGGAAGCCCTTATTAATTGGTTAAGGGAATGGGCTGAGTCAACAGAGTGACAAGTGTGGATCCGCTATTACCAAAGGATATGCATCATCCTTTCTTCTCCCTACTCATTGGGGGAAGACGCCTCCCCCCAATAACTGTGTGTGGCACCATGGGGTCACCACAGCAGGAGGATGCCCTGCCAGTGCAGTTCTCCTCAGTGTCATCTTCTGGAAGAGCTACAGAATGACAGTTGGGGACTCAGGCATCCCTTGCAAAATGGAAGTATCCAAGGAGAGAATTGATGGCACTGCCCAGCACTGGTGGATCTGAGCTTCACAACAGCCAGTAGATATAATTTTGTCTTTCTTAGAGATAAAGAAACTTCTGATACTGAATAAGTACATGTGAACATGAAAATTCCAAAAGAGAGCAGCTACTTTTCACTGACCAGCTGTATGGTTTTCCCAGATCTCCACAAAGTCTTTTTCACAGCTGGAGGAATTCTGAAGGTTAAAGTCTTCAAAGTGGATGGTGAGATAATGTCCTGCTAGGCCCTGGAGCCGCCACTGACAGAATAAATTATTTGAATATGGAAGTGTGGGGTAACCAATGCTCTCAATGATGCCACTTGGTCCTGTTACTGTTCCTCCACACCGGGCTGCAAAACACAAAAAGTGCAATGTTCTATTGCAGACTCTTCTCTGATTAAACCAGAATATTTGAAAACTTTTGAGTATCAAGAGAATACAAACTGAAGTTTTAATAATCCTGAACATGTTTGGCAAGAGCTTTCCTTATTATTTTAAATATGCTGTTGATGAAAAGAGAAATAATACAAGTCCAGCCAATAATGGGAAAGAGAAAATGAGTTTTGGATGGTGTATTCTGTAATGTGACATTAATTCTCTTGGGTCACTATATGAGAGCTATTAGTTGCAAATGTGTTTCATTTCCAGAACCACCTGATAGATGGATATGCCTGCTTAGTGTCCTGGGTGGATAATTCTAAAGATTGTCCAGAAAGAAGTGGGTCAGTGATGCCTTCCATGTACAGTTTCAACTATCAAATAAACATTGTACTACAGTGACAGATTTATCAAGGTCTGGAAAATTACCCTCCAATTATTTCTTATTAGCTGGATATGATAACTAAATTGAATTTTATATAACTGACTCAGGCTATAACATGACCAATGGTATACATTAAATGTTATTACAATTAGGCTTTCTAACATTTTGCTCAATTAAATATTTGTTTATATAATGTCCAAACTCACCAGATACTTAATCTGTATGTAACCATATTACACTGTAACCATATTAGAGTGAATTTCAATACTCATATTTATTGTTCATTTTTAAAATAAGAAAATCTAAACATTAAAGTAATGTATTTGCTTTTTGCATGGTGACTGATTTGGCACTGAAGACTTAAAGGGAAGAAAAGCTCAACTCTATTATTGATGAGTTCAAAGCCATTGTATTAAATATAGTTGTTCATAAAAGGAATTAATTTTATCAATTAATATAAAATGCATATTCCATGATAAGAGGAAGAAATAAGAATTTGTTTAGATAGGCATATTTTAAACAATATCGGAAAAATATATAAATATTCAAGTTTAATAACTTGAATTATTAAATAGTGTTACTCCAGGGATATAGTTCAGAGCATGATGCCTGCCTAACAATCACAAGGTCATGAGTTTGATTCCCAGTACTGAAAAAAAAAAAAAGAAAGGGAAAGAAGTTAAAATGGATAAATGAGTGGCTTTAAACAGTTACACAATTTATTTATTTCTATCACTAAAATAATTCTTAATATCAGGCAGGTAAAATTAAAATTTTTAAAACAATAAAATGAGGCCTATAGAAAGATTTATTTTTAAAAGAGATATTTTTAAAATTTTAATTTGTTATTGTACCACAAGTTTCATGTTTAGTATTTTAAAATTGTGTTACCTATAGAATACTTGGCCTTGAATCCTGCACGAGTCGAACTGTCAGATCGGAACCTCAAATACAGAAGCTCTCCAGAGGACAACTGGCTACTAGGCAAAGACATCCCACAGAATTTGGAAAGCACCGGTGCCTGCGAATCACCTCCATCCCGCAGCTCGATATAACTGGAAAGGCAGCTAACGTGAGGAAAACAAACACAGTTGTTGATAAAGCCAACTGCTTTGATTTATTTTGATAATGAAAGTTTCACCAACTTTATTCAAGAGTACTATGGAGTCATCCTTTACGTATCATAAGGTACTATGCAGAGCTAGTTTAAGCTTCACATCACTTTAAAATGCTGTATATCTTCTAATGCTAACACAGTCTTTCACAGTTAGCTCAAAAGACAAGTTTTACAGATACCAGATGGGAGAAAGTTCACGGGCCTTCCATATTCTGCAATGGTTTTACAAATATAAAAGCCATTTTCAAATTAATCCCTGTGTGTCTAAACAAAGCCAGTACTTCCACGTAATCCTTTCATACATTTCACAGGACAAAAACAAGAACGCTTTCTTGACAGCTTGGGACCAGAGCTAATGGAGAGTCTCAGCGGAATTGTCTATGTCCATAAAAAGGACAAGTCTTCACCTAATGTTTCCTGAGAAAGCCAAACCAGTCAATTAACGTGCAGTGAGTGGAAGAACAGTATTATGCCTCATGCTGAGAAAAAAAATACGTTCTTCTCTCTAGATTTTTTATCACTCATGCTTTCATGCATATGCATACATATTTCTGCTAAAAGAAAGAGAAAATCATGTAAGATTTCTTGTTCTATTTTGTTCTTACAGATTAATTTTCCTTTGTCTTTAGCATTGTAAGAGTTATTCTCTGGACTGTAATCCTTTAAGGATCCTTATTAAATCAAGACCAGGAAATTGTATTGTACATGCTTTAATACCATTTCTGACACTGGTGACCCCTGGTAAAACCACATAAATTGCCTTTTGTTAAACAGGCATTTTATCATCTATGACATAGCATATGAGACCAGGCAAATAAATACTCATCTTCCAAAGGCACTATATTTTTCCTGTGGGGGGATGAAAAAATAACATAAACCTAAAGTACCACCCTAAGTGTCTCTTAGAGGATGTATCAAGGGTACAATTCTACTCAGCTGATCAAAGAGTGGCACTTGGGTGAAGTTTCCTGGCTGGAGGGAGGCATTAAGCTTGTCCCTTGGTCCCTAGATTTCCTATGTAGTATGACTGCTGTCAAAAGAAATAAATCATTCTGAGACATGACATTAAAAAATATTAACATTGACATGACATGTTAAAAATATTAACATTAGATAGAAGGGAAAACAAAACCAAGTGACCTACTTGGATGTCTCTCTAATATCAAATTGATCTTCAAACTGTAGTCTTACACTCTTTGTCGGAGGAGCAGATATGATCCAGACGCAATCAGTATTGGGCGGATAATTGTTAGGATAGTTGGGGGAGGTCACGTATCCAGTAGGATCAGCATCATGGATGTAGATGTTACCCCCACAGGCTATCAGGAAACATGATTAAATCAATCTCTAGTCTGGTGAAGATGGACACAGTCAACTGCTATCATCATTTTTTTTAAGTTAATCTGTCTATATTTCCAGTCTCACTTTCCTTTGTTCTAGGATTATCTTCATTTTCTTTTTAAGTAAATAAATTCTGAATTTGCTACTGGGAAAGTTATCAGGTGTGTCGTGCGTCACTTTTTAATTTGCCAAGCCATCTATTCTTATTGAAAATTTCATTCTTCCTGAAAGCTAGTAGAATACAATACACAGAACATGCATCAGAAAGTCAAAGAAGCAGAAATACACACCCACCAGTCAGATGAGCATGTAAGTACACTAGCAGTTATAACTGCCACTGGCTGCTCATTTCTGGGGAAGGAAGCAGAGCTGTACTCTTCACATGTTTCAAAACTAAGCATTTGTACAATTCTATGGATATCCATTCATTATATTTTTTATGATTTAGACTGAGGAGCAAGAGATGAAAAACATAAAGAAATTTACTAGTTTTTTTGTAAGAAAATGAAAGATACTTTTATATTTCTTTTTGTAAAAGACATGTTATATAAAAAGAAATTCCTTTCATCTACAAACACTTTTTGGCAATTTTAGCAAATAAATGAGGTAGGATAAATACATTTACAGTGTCAAAGAAATTAACCTATTCAGTTAGCAGCCACGCACACACTTGATCTACTAGATTCAAGCAGTATTTATTTCCACTGTCACTCAGCCACTTGTGCTCACATCCTGAATTTTGTCATTACTCAGAATTACTCCATCTCTGAAATCCTGAATTATAAACCCCTTTGATAACCTGTAACAACCTTGGTCCATGTCTTTCCTTCAAGTTCCCCTTGCAAAGTGTCAGTTTCATGGTTGTTTTCAATTCAAGGAAGCTGTCAACACTGAAAATATCTGATCTACAATCTCAGTTCCACCAAACAATTTGCCCATTACTTTCCATATTAAGTATAATAGCTATATAAACCTTATTACTTAAGTCCACCATTCCCCATTCCCTCTTGATTCTCCGCACACTACATGGAATCTATTTAATAAATCAGATGGCAACCCAATCAACTCGTAACACTTTGTTTTAAGCTGAATACATTAATCTGCATCTCCTCCCTTTCCATTCCCCTGTACATTATTCTCCAGCATCTGTAGGATAGGTTTCCACCCCATTTTGCTCTTCATGGGTATTGCTACATAATTTCTCTTCTATGCTGCTATTGTCCCCACTTCTCATTCTATATTATTCAAGTCTCTCAAGCACACTTCTTCAGGCCTTCAATAGCCTCCAACTTATATACACTTGGATCATTTTACCAATCTTCATTTTAAATTCATGGCACATATCTTGGTTGACCATATCTTCTTTCTTTTCATTTGCATCCCTTAGCTTCTTGGACATGAAGCTGTTCTCCTCCTGTGGCGCTTGGGCTTTCCTGACATTGTTGAAGAGTCCTAGGAATCTTTCCACAGATTTCTCATCTCATTCTTAATAACACCTTCACAGATGTCATGTATACTCCTGACTTAACACTACAACCAGGCTGTTGATGATTCCTCTATCTATAGATTTGGTCTAGGCTCCTCTTCTGACCTCCAGATTCATGTTCCAGCAGATACCAGACTTTGCACTGGACATAATTCAGAGATTTCAAACTGAACATGTCTGACAATGGGTCTTGTCTGGTCATCTAGGACTCATACATGAGTAAGTGATAATATATTGCCTCCTCTGCTGGTGCTCCTCACCATCTTATTTTTCCCCTTAATAACTTTCACCTTATTACATATTATGCATTTTACTTCTCATTATTTGTGCCTTAATACTAAAATTAATCTTCATAAAGATGAATTTTGTTTGTTTGCTACTTTATCCCTGGGATCTAATTCAGTGTATAGCACATGGAAAATTCTGGATAAATGTTCATGGACAAATGTCCAGAAATCTAGCACTTAGATTTATTTATGTTTTTTTCCATTCCTTCTCTCCCCTTAAACATAATGTGACAACCAGATCTACTCAATTATGTATTAATAATCTTGAAATATGCTTTCTCTTCTACCTTCTTATGGCCATTACTTTGGTTCAGGACCTAATAATAGCTTCACTGAATTACTGTTTCATCAGGTCTCTCTTTTTAGACTTTCCCACAGGGATACAGCCACACTGATCCTCTTATCTGATCATGACAGACTTGATTTGGATTAAAATCATTCAACGGCTTCCCATAATCTTCCGGTTAATATCCTTTCTCTGTAGAGTGCTACTCATGGCTCCTAGCACAATGATTTCTGCCTGCCTCATCACAGTATTTAACTCTTTTTGATTATATTTTCCAGTAGCAGTAGGTTCTTTCAAAATTGTGAATGTATTCTATCTTGTAACAAGATTTTCTATATTGTCACATACTTTCTTCACTAATTGGCAAATCACTGTTCATCTGGGACAGATGAACAAAGGCTTTTCTGAGAGACTTTTCTGATCTCTTCACTAGATGGTTCTACGTGGAAACCTAATTTTTTTCACTTTAAAAATATTTTATTTTAAAGTGAATAAAACCAAATGAAATGAAACAGAATAAAGCCAATCAAAACAAAACAATGAAAGCAACATAGGACTCTAGACAAGATAATAGGAAATCAATCATGGCTATCATAATATGTCTTGTTATCTTCACAATAGCTGCCCACACCATCAAACATAGTAAAATTAAAACCAAACAGAATAAAATCAATCAAAAGAAAATAATGAAAGTGGTACAGGACTTCAAAATGATATAATAGAAAATCAAAAGTGTCTACCATTATATATCTTGTTATTGTCAAATAGCTGCCCATACAATCAGACATAGTAGAATCAACCAAAACAAAACAATGAAAACAACATGTGATTTCAAAACAGGATAACAGGAAATTAAAAATGGCTACCATACTCCCTTTTTAATTGTGCCTTCCCCTTTCACTTTTATAGTATCTATTGTACATTTTGGTTTGGAATTTTTTTCCTTTGGTACTGGGAAATGAATTCACAACCTTGTGCTTCCCAGGCAGGCACTGTGCCACTGAGTTATATCCCTAGCCCTATATTGTACATTTTGGATCCCATTAACTCCTTAAGTTTTTTATACTGAAGTATGCAACACTGTTCATCCATGTGAGTCTGAACCACCTCACTGAGAAGCATGATCTTAAGTTGCATCTATTTACCTATAAGAGACTTGGGATTATCCTCCTTTACAGCTGAGTAACTTTGCACTGCATAAAAATACCGTATCTTTCTTATCCATTCTGCTGTTGATGGCCAGGCTACCCTACTTTTTTCTGGGTCTTCATCACATGGAGCATTGTCTTCTCTTCTCTGTCATTCAGTTTATGAATCTCCTTTCAAGTCAAATGTGTATCTTGTATACAGAATATTGTCGAATCCTGTCTCCCAAAATCCACTCCGCTCATTTCTTTTTATTGGTGAATTGAGGCCATCTACATTGATGCTCATAACCAACATTCACTGGTTTATCTCTGCCATAGTATTCGCCTGCCATTGGCCCCACTTTCCCCCTCCACTCAGTTGTCTGTCCTGCCAGCAATCCTCCTCTGCTGCTGTTCCTGAAAACTATCATTTTTCTCTCTGTTTAGAATATCTTTCAGAACTCTTTGAAGGGTTGGTTTGGTGGTCATGAATTCCTTCAGGTTTTTTTTTTTTAATCATGGAAGTATCTTATTTCTACATTAATTTTGAAAGTTTTGCAGAGTACATCAATATGGATTGGAAATTATTTTCCCTCAGGAGCTGAAACACTTTATTCCAAGGTCTTCTTGATTAAATGGTTTGTGTTGAGAAGTCTGCTGTGATAATGACGGGCTTCCTTTATACGTGATCTGCTTCTTTTCTCTAACAGCCTTTAATATTCCATTCTATGCTGAATTTCTGGAATCTTGATTATTCTATGTCTGGGTGTAGCTTTATTTTGGTTATGGCTAGCTGGAATTCTATATGCCTCACTTATCAGTATGTCAGGTCCTTTTCCCATGCTTGAGAAGGTTTTTGCTACTACTTCTACACACCTATCAGTCTTACATTATTTTTCTTTGCTTTGTCTTTCAACCACTGAATTGTTATCTCCTAGTTCCTTGTTATTTTTAAGAGATCTTTCCTTTCATGATCACTAGTCTCAATCCTGTCTTCAAGGCCTGTAAGTCTAGCTTCAGTTTCTTTCAAGCAGTTTTTCCAGATTTCAATGGAGTTTTTAATTTCTTGGGTATCTCTTCGAATCTGTTTCATGGATTGTAATTCTTTCCTCTATTGTTCATTCAAGTTTTTCATCATTTTCCTATTCTCCTCTTTTTTATCTATGTCTTTTGTAGATAAGCTCAGCAATTCTTTCATTATGTTTGTGATTTCTTCTTGTACCTGAGACATTATTTTTGATCTGATGACGTTTACAGCTTCATGAAATTGCTTCTTTACTTCAGTTGCTATCCTTTTAGAAATTTCAGGTGTGCACCTTTCAATTTATTCCATGTCTGTGTCTGCCAGAATTGTTCTGTGTGGGCTGGAGGTCTGAGATTGCTTTTCAATGTTTCATCTTGAAATTTTCCTGGCTTCCTGTAGAGAAGCTGATTGTGGGGTTCCAGGTTATTCCTATCTTGGCTACCCATCTGTGGTACAGGGGATTGGGCCAGGCACCTGGGTTTCTCCTGCCTAGGTTCCCAGGGAGATGGTGGGATGCAGGGAAGGCTTCTCCAAATATGCACATTACATCATGACTCTATTGATGGTAGCAGGCACATAGGGAGTGTGGCTGGCTTTTTCTCATGGCCTGTGCTGACTACTGGTCCCAATTGCAATGGTAGGCTTGTGGGGACATGCGAATACACATTTTGAATAAAACCTCTTTAACTATAGTGTAATCATACAAATATGAGTATTTGAATCATAATATCCCAAAGTGGTATGTGCCATACAGCATAATCATTACTT